GCATCTTTTTTTTGAGTTGGAGTCTCACTCTGTCGCCCAGACTGGAGTGCCGTGGCCGCTCCCGGCCACCGCAGCCTCGACCAGCTAGGCTCCGGCGATCCTTCCGCCTCCGCCTTCCAAGTAGCTGGAACTACAGGCGCGCGCTACCACACCCGGCTAAGTTTTTGATTTATTGTAGAGATGAGGTCTTGCCAAGTTGCCCAGGTGGGTCTCGAACCCGCGGGTTCAGGCAATCCACTCACTTCAGCCTCCCAAAGGCGTGGGATTACAGGCTGAGCCACCGGGCCCGGCTAAGACTGGCATCTTTTCAGGTCACAACCAGTCCTTGGATTCCTGATTACATCTTTCTCCTCCTCTTCTTCTTCTTCTTCCTCCACTTCCTCCTCTTCTTCTTTCTTCTGTCTTCTTCTTCGAGTGAGGGTCTCACTCTGTTGCCCGGGCTGGAGTGAGATAGCACAATAATAGCCTACTACAGCCTTGACCTGCTGGGGTCAGGTGATCACCTCAGCCTTCCACCTCAGCCGCCTAAGTAGCTGGAACCACAGGTACATACCACCACATCCAGCTAATGTTTTTAAATTTTTTGTAGAGGCGAGATCTCCCTGTGCTGATTTATTTTGTATGTGATGCGTTCTTTCAGGACTTCCGTCCTTGCTCTGGTTGTACCTTCCGTGGTGTTACAGACCCATGCTCTCCTTCCCGCCCCTCCCCCTTCTTCCTACACTGGACGTTTTGGAGAAAGATGTCTCAGTGTTCCGCTGTCCCTTCACTGGACTCCCTTGGACCTTCCAGCCCACACACTGAATGTTCTCTCTCAGGGTAGAGTACCGTGGCTTGGCAGTAGAGAATTGTCTTTTTTCTTTTCTTTTCTTTCTTTTTTTTTTGAGTTGAAGTCTGACTCTGTCGCCCAGGCTGGAGTGCAGTGGCACACTCATGGCCACCGCAGCCTTGACCTGCTGGGCTCAGGCGATCCTTCTGCCTCAGATTCCCAAGTAGCTGGAACTACAGGTTGTGCTACCACACCCAGCTATTTTTGATTTCTTGTAGAGGTGAGGTCTTGCCAAGTTGCCCAGGCTGGTCTCAAACCCCTGGGCTGAGGCAATCCTCTCGCCTCAGCCTCCCAAAGTGCTGGAATGACAGGCTTGAGCCACCATGCCCAGCCTTTCCTTTTATTTCTAAGACTCTTCTTGGAGATGTGCATCGCAAGGTTTCTCTTTCCTTCAGTGGCACGCAGCCTGCTGTGTCTGGGGAGATTCTCCAAGGACTCCCCTGTTCCTCCTCTTGATGGCACTCATGACATCCTACCTGCCATTTTATTTAATTGTCCCAAATGTGTCACTAGACACTTGTCACCGCATCCCGCCAGCCGCCCTGCTGCCTCAGCCTTGTTATGGCCTTTTCTGGCAGTTTCTCTCAGGAATGTTTGCTGACCTGAGAGACCAGTGTTTCCTGTCACCTCGGACATCTCCCTGTGCACTCTCAAGAGCATTTCTTACACAGGACTTCGGCAACAAATGCCAGCTCTGTGTCCAGAGAATGCTGACCCATCTATATCTAACAGTGTGTGCTTTGGTCTTCACCCTTTAACTAACGTCTCTGACAAGTTGCATATTTATGGGGGAAAGCCCTCAATTCCATGGCATTAAAATGGAGGCAGTCTTTGGCATGGAAGCTTGTGAGATTTTTCGAAATCTCAGATGAACACTGCTGAGCGGACACCTCAAAGAATTCAACTCTCCCAGCCCAACCTCCTCTGGGACCCCTAATCCGGCTAATGGGATCTTCTTGCCGGTCAAGACCCACCCTGTAGTGTAGTTGCTGCCGGTTTTTCAGATGTGAGCCTGGGAGGTGGTCACCAGAAGTCACTCCTGTTCTCAGGAGCACTGGCTGGCAACCCTTGGGTGTGGACACATTAGAGAAGGCTCGCTGATGATTTAATGGGTCATCTTTCTTCCCCGACAGAGGTGGATGAGTGCTCGTGGCCGGAGCACGGTGGGTGTGAGCACCGCTGCGTGAACACATTGGGCAGTTACAGGTGCACCTGCGACCCTGGCTACGAGCTGGCCGCCGACAGGAAGACCTGCGAAGGTCGGTGTGGGACCCGCCAAGCTGGAGAGAGGGGGCAGGGAGTGGGGCAGAGGCGGGGTGGTGGCTGACTGAGAGGGGACAACAGGTGGGCATGGTGGGAGGTCACCTACTTCCCAGAGGGAGACACAGCCCAATAACTGTCTTCAATGTGGGAAAACTGCCCGTGACACGGACTCTCTCCTAAAAACCATGCAGTCGGGGCCATGGTTTGTTTTCTTCTGTGACTGTTAAAAGTTCCATGATTATTAAGGTAGGACATCAAAGCACAGAAAAACTATAAGTACTGCTTTGACTCAGCCGACAGTGCATCTCACTCCTTCTGTTTCCACCCAGCCTCTGTCTTCTTCGCCCACCATCACGAAATCTGCCTGTTCATGCAAGCCAGGTGTGGTAGACAGCTAGCTGCAGACATTTCTAATTCTCCTGCCCAAATTGTGGGGAGTCCTCAGCTATGGTGACAGGAAAGTACTCATGCACCCTCGTTGTTTGAGACAGTAAAGAGCTGGGCATGGTGGCTCACACCTGTAATCCCAGCACTTGGGGAAGCCCAGGTGGGAGGATCACTTGAGCCCAGGGGTTCAAGACCAGCCAGGGCAACATAGAGAGACCGCATCTCAAACAAACAAACAAACAAACAAACCAAGCTGGACGTGGTGGGGCACGCCTGTAGTCCTAGCTACTTGGGAGGCTGAGGCGGAAGGATTACCTGAGTCTGTGTGGTGAGCTGTGATTGTGCCACTGCACTCCAACCTGGGTGACAGGGTGAGACCCCAGCTAAAAAACCAACCAACCAACAAAAAAAGCTGCACCCAGGCGTCCCTCCAAATCTCCAGTGGAAACAATTAGACTAGAATAAAGGACATGAATTAATCCATTCAGATTGTCTGACTTCGTTTTGTTATTATTGAGAGGACATGAGTTAACTAGTTCAGGCTGACTAACTTTTTAAAAATTATCATCACACCACAGCAGGGCTTACTGTTATCCGTGGGAAATCGCAGTGGCTGGGAACTAAAACCATGAATCTCGTTTCCGTCTCCCCTATGCAGTGGCCTGTGGCGGTTTCATTACCAAGCTGAACGGAACCATCACCAGCCCCGGGTGGCCCAAGGAGTATCCCACAAACAAAAACTGCGTCTGGCAGGTGGTGGCCCCCGCTCAGTACCGAATCTCCCTGCAGTTCGAAGTGTTTGAGCTGGAAGGCAATGACGTAGGTTTCTGTGTCTGACTCATTGGGGACTGTGTGAGAGCCAGCGACGGGCTAGCGGCTGGGCGGTACCTGGGGCTTCTGACAGTCGCCAGACCTTGACTGGGCAGGAGCTGGGGGCACTTCATCGTTGTGTAAGCCATGCATCTTCTGCAGACAGACCACCTCTGGCCCTCCTGTCACTGTAAATCCAAGGAGGTTCAGGACCAGGGTGGAGGAGGCAAGCTTTGGGGTGGGAGGTGTCAGGACTAGTGTCCAGCTGCGGGGCGAGGGGGGTGGGAACTGGCTAGGGACAAGGACACCACTGGCAGTCTGCTTCCTCTTTTGGGTCATGGATGTCCAGGTCAGCTGGGGTCTAGGCGGCACCCTGCAGCCAGAGAGTCAGGTGTGCTGACATCTTCACCTTGGGCTGGAGGGACCCTCCCGGGACACACAGGCCCTTTTCTGTGACCCTCTGTGCCAGCTGAGCTGGGGGGTCTCATCTTAAGCAGAGCCCTGTCTGGCTCTCCCCTGACCAGCCAGGCCTTTTGGGTACTAAGAGGGCCCAATGCCAATGACCCGACACAGAGACCAGGGAACAATGGGGGCTCACCCCAAAGTGAGTATTGTCCAGAAATGGCAACCTTGAGAGCAACTCGCCAGACCACTTAGCAGTTACATTCTTTTTGAGAAAAATCCTTGCTGTGGTGGAGAACATGAATTCTGGCCCAGACCCCGCCACTGCTGAGCTGTGTGACTCCAGACAAGTGTCTTTACCCTTCTGAGCTTTCGTTTCTCTGCATGAAAATATCACAGAGCGAGTCTATTAGCGGTTTGCAAACGCTTCCTCTTTCCTTTGTTCCTTCTTCTTCTCCCCCACCCTTTTTTTTTTGAGTTGGAGTCTCACTCTGTCACCCAGACTGGAGTGCAGTGGCCGCTCCCGGCCACCGCAGCCTCGACCTGCTGGGCTCCGGCGATCCTTCCGCCTCCGCCTTCCAAGTAGCCGGATTACAGGCATATGCTACCACGCCTGGCTGACTTTTTGGTTTATTGTAGAGATGAGGTCTCGCTGCCCAGGCGAGTCTCGAACCCGTGGGCTCAGGCAATCTACTCACCTCAGCCTCCCAAAGGTGCGGGATTACAGGCTGAGCCACCGAGCCCGGCTTCTTCTTCCCCTTTTTTCTTCTCCTAGCAGTGGGGGTTGGGGAGTCCCTTTCTTCAAGAAACATTTCACGTGAAATCCCAAAATATAACATAAATAAAAGTGAGGTCACAGAGTTCTTGTGCCAGGCGGTGGTGCCTCCTCAGACCCTTGGCCGGAGGACCGGGTCGCCCGTGTCCCCTGGAGCTCAGTCTAATGCCTAGCATAGGAAGAGGCCAAGGGACCCACTGCCTGGCAGGGTGCGGGCCTCAGGAAGCAGATAGAGCAGCATGCGGGGCCCGGGGTGGGGATAGGGTCTGAGCCGCTCCCCTCAGCATCCTCCTTTGCAGGTGTGCAAGTATGACTTCCTGGAGGTGCGCAGCGGCCTGTCCCCCGACGCCAGCCTGCACGGCAGGTTCTGCGGCTCCGAGACACCCGAGGTCATCACCTCGCAGGGCAACAACATGCGAGTGGAGTTCCAGTCTGACAACACCGTCTCCAAGCGCGGCTTCAGGGCTCACTTCTTCTCAGGTAGGCGGTTGGAGGCGAGACCGTGGCAGTGATGGCGAGACAGTCCCTGGCCTTCACTTCCTTCCAGGGCTGGGGGGTGGGAGGTGGGGTGCCTGGATTCCGTTTTTATATACATTGGTGGCTGTATCACTTTTCTCTTCCTTGTTTTTTTTTTTGAGTTGGAGTCTCACTCCATCGCCCAGGCTGGAGTGCCATGGCACGCTCACGGCCACCCAGCATCGACTCACTGGGCTCCAGCCATCCTTCCACCCCAGCCTTCCAAGTAGCTGGAACTACAGACGCATGCTACCACACCCAGCTAATTTTTTGTTTATTGTAGAGATGAGGTCTCACCAAGTTGCCCAGGCTGGTCTCGAATCCCTGGGCTCCGGCAATCCTCTCGCCTTGGCCTCTCAAAGTGCTGGGATGACAGGCTTGAACCACCATGCCCGGCCGGCTGTATTACTTTTCTGCATAGCAAATGGCCACACACGGGTGGCTTCAAACCATAGAATCCCAGCCTGGACAACATGGGGAGACCTCGACTCCATGAAAACATCAAAAATAGTAGCCAGGCATGGTGGTGTGCACCTGTAGTCTGGGCTACTTGGGAGGCTGAGGTAGAAGGATTGTCTGAGGTCGAGGCTGTGGTGAGCCGTGAGTGTGCCACTGCACTCCAGCCTGGGCGACAGAGTAAGACCCCAACTCCAAACAAACAAACAAACAAACCACCACAGCAAAACTACAATGGAATCTTACTCTCTTATGGTTCTGAAATCATGGTGTCGGGAGAGCCATGCCCCCTCTGCAGACCCTAGGGAAGCGTCTCTCCTTGCCTCTTCCTAGTCTCTGGTGGCTCCCAACTGGCATTTGTGTCACTCCCCTCTGCCCCCATCTTCACAAGCCCTTCCTTCTCCATGTCTCTGTGTTCTCTACTTTTCTTTCTTCCTTCCTTCCTTCCTTCCTTCCTTCCTTCCTTCCTTCCTTCCTTCCTTCCTTCCTTCCTTCCTTCCTTCTTTTCTTTTTTGAGTTGGAGACTCACTCTGTCGCCCAGACTGGAGTGCAGTGGCATGCTCACGGCCACCCCAGCCTCGACCTGCTGGCCTCCGGCGATCCTTCCACCTCAGCCTTCCAAGTAGCTGGAACTACAGGCGCCTGCTACCATGCCCGGCTAATTGTTGATTTATTGTAGAGACGAGGTCTGCCAAGTTGCCTGGGCTGGTCTTGAACCTGTGGGCTCAGACAAATCCACTTCCCTCTGCCTTCCAAAGTGCTGGGATGGCAGGCTGAGTCACTGAGCCCAGCCACAAGTTTTTCAATAAGAGTTCTGGAAGATTTTACAGTTGTAAGCAACTTGGCACCGAATAGTACTTGCCAGAGTCCTATAGCTGATGTTAAACCGCTTCCTGAGTGGGATTAAAGTAAAACAATAATTGTGGATGACAGCCTGGGTAGGCAAAGCCTGAAAGAGATCTTAGGTACCACTTTTAGGCTTTATAATAGAGACCGTTTATAAAACAGTTTCCCCGAACAACAGGTACTGCATGCTGGTCCTGAGCCATTCTAGAGGCATTATTATTATTATTGTTTATTACCATCATCATTGTTATTTGAGTTAGAGTCTCACTTTGTTGCCCCGGCTGCAGTACAGTGGCACGATCATGGCTCACTGCATCCTTGACACCCTGGGCTCAGGACATCCTTCTGCCTCAGCCTCCTGAGTAGCTGGGACTACAAGGCGTGCACCACAATGCTCAGAAGATTATTTTCATTTTTTGTAGAGACAAGGTCTCGCTGTGTTGCCCAGGCTGGTCTCGAGCTCTTGGCCTCAAGCAGTGCAGGGATTACAGGTGTGAATCACCATGCCTGGTTCCATCTCTAGATTCTTGACGAAAATAAGACCCTGTTTCCAAATAAGATCACATTCAGGGGTTCCAGGTGAATAGAAATTTCGGGGCAGACACTATTCAACCCACTTCAGCTGCAAACTGGATCCCTGTTCTCACATCGAAGCCATGAGCCATCAGGGTCACACAGCAGCTGTAGGAAAAGCCGTTCTCTGTCGCATGGCGTCTCCTGCTGGACACTGCCTCAGCCCACCTGTCCTGCCAGCCATGTCCCCTCTGCAGGTGCCCTGTGTTCTGATCACCAATAAACCCCCACTGTCCTCCCCTGCATCACCCTGTACTCCTCACCCTCTGCCCCATCCTCTCTTCAGGGAGAGGGAATCCCTCTGCCCCTGGGGTTCCCTCTCCCTGAAACAGCCTGCATCCTTCCCCACTTAGAAAACTCCTACTTTGATGTGAAGACCCAAAACACCGCTTCCCATAGCTGTCCCGGTTTCCTCTTAACCCCCTCTCTCCATCCATTTTGTGCTGCTAAAACAGACGGCTACAGATGGGTAATTTATAATCAGGTTCCAGTTTGGAAATGCCTTTGGCTCACGGGTCTGGAGGCTGGGCAGTCCACATCTGGCAAGGGCTGTGTCCTAGCAAGGTGAAAGGCATCCCGTGGGCCCAAGAGAGAGGGAAAGGCGCCAGGCTCATCCTTCCTAAGCGCCCCCCTCCCTAGTAACAAGCCTTCCTAATTTCATCACCCCTCAACGGCCAGTCCTACCTCACCACACTGTTGCGTTGGGGTTCAGTTTCCAACACAGGAACTTTGGGGTACCCATTTGGACTGTAGCACCCCCTTAGCACATTGCTTGTCCTTTTATCAGTGTTCCCGTAACACAGTCTACCTCCCTCCTTTGGGGCTTTTGTCACCAGGGCCGGCTCCATGGACCTATGGCCTGGGCAACACGGCGAGACCGTGTCTCTACCAAAAATGAAAAATTAGCCAGGCATGGTGGCACACACCTGTGGTCCCAGCTACTTGGGAGGCAGTAGCTCAGGGCCTGCACTGGCAAGGGCTCCCACACTTGGTCTAAGGTTCTGCTGTCCCTGTCTTGAAATTCACAACAGTTTTGGAACAAAGGACTCCCAAGTTCCTCTTGCATTGGGCTCTGCAAATTATGTAGCACCTCCTGCCTGTCATGTCACACTGTGAACTGTTTACCGGCAGGGGCTGCATTTTGGCTATCTTTGTATCCTTAGTGCTTGGTCATTTGTTGATTGCAAAATAATCAGTGATACCCCACAATCTGTCGCCCTGTTGGCTTTGTAGTCTCGCATGGAGCAAGTTGTGTTGCGCTTGGCTTTTGCGTGCCTGCTATGGGCCCAGCATGCTACTAGGCCCAGAGAAGTTGCCAGGGCAGTGTTGTCCCCAGCACTGGACCAGCTCACACCTTGGCTAGGGAGGCCAGGGCGACACATCCTACAAAGTCTCAGCCTGGCACTCGGTGGCCTTCACAGGAGAAGAGAAACCCGTGGTTGCTGGAGCAGCAGGCTGAGTCTTTTTTGCAGCACACGTGGTGGTCTGAGCCAGACCTCAAGGGAGAGAAAGGCGTGGAGGTGGAGTGAGATGATTTGAGAGAGGCGACTGGGACCCCAAGAGGGGCGATCGGGACCCCAAGAGGCCACGGGTCTGGGGTCTCCACAGAGCACAGAGACAGTGCTGAGACCAGCCTGCACAGAACCCCTATCTAGGCCGGGAAGCCAAGGGTATGAGATACATTAAGTCGGGTGGGCTGGGTCATGGAGGGCCTTGAATGCCAGGCTGAACAGTTTGGACCCGATGGAATAGGACATGGGCTCTTTTGCATGCTCCTGACCCAGGGAGGCCTAAGAATTTCGTCTGCCCTCACCAGGCCGGCGGCACCGAGCTGGAGGCCAGGAAAGCTGGAGAGCCTATAGCCACAAAAGTGCTTTAGGGGCACAGAGAATCCGAGACACACCAGGGCCAAGTGACAGCCAACGAATCTGAGGCAAAGAGTCTCCTCCCTCCCCTCCCCCAGAGAGGGGATTCTCAAAGGGGAGAGACAGTCACTGGAGGCTTCCTGGAGGAGGCTGCCCTTGAGTGGAAGTTCTGAGTTTCAGGGGACATTCCCAAGGGGGTGGCTTCTCTTAGGAGAGTCCCTTGATCTCCCCAGACAGGGACGAGTGTGCCAGGGACAACGGCGGGTGTCAACACGAGTGCGTCAACACGTTCGGCAGCTACTTGTGCCGGTGCAGGAACGGCTACCGACTCCACGAGAACGGGCTGGACTGCAAAGAGGGTGAGACGGGGCCTCTGCATGGGCGGGTTGCCCTCGGCCACACCTCTCCCCGTGTGCGTGTGCATGGGTGAGGGAGTGGGTGCTGAGCCCTTCCGCCTTTGGCTGAACTGGGGGTCCAGTGTTCGAGGGCGGGTTACTGTCGCAAAGTGCTAAGCCTACAGGTGCCAGAATCTGACCATGTGGATCTCCGTCCCGGCTCTGCCACTCACTTGCGGTGTGACCCTGAACAAGCGACTTAACCTCTCTGGGCCTCGTTAAGAAAGATCCGTTAAGAAAGATCCAAATGCGCCTCTTTCTTCAAGTTTTTTTGTGAGGCTTAAGAGAATGCCTAGAAAGTCTTTCAGTCAGTCTGACGCATGTGGTACTTAAGATCAGCTGTCTAAGTCTTTGGTAGGTTATTGTTTGCCATACGCAGCTCTCGTAGTGAACTTGAACTTTGGAAAAAGCTTTGCTTCTGTTCCATTCACTGCTGGGAGTTCTCCAGGGCTCGATGGCTTTTAATGTCCAGTCCTTCTGAAAAGACTTCCCTCTGCTCTTACCCTGCCAGGGAAGGGAGTCTGAGTATCTGGGAAAGGTTCACAGCCTCCAGGCCTTGGTTCCAGCCACAGAACCCAGAAAGGAAGTGGGGTGGGGGGGTGGGTGTGGAGACTGCATACCCCCTCTCTGGGATCTCCAGTTTGGAGTTAGGGGACTCGGCTGGGTCCTGCAGAGTCAGCCAGGGTCTGCCTTGGGTGTTGGAGGATGAGTGAGCCTGTCTGCAGAAGCAGGAGGTGGCCCCCTCCATGCCCAGCCCTGGGGTCCTGGCCCTGGTGGTCAGGGGCCGGGCTCGAGGCGGGTGGAAGGACTGAGCTGGACCAGGATCCAGCTTGCCTCCTGCAATGTGGCGGGGACGGGAGGGACACCAGTTCTGCTGAGGTCCCGCCTCTGCACAGCAGCCCCTGTGTGTGGACCTCGGAGCAGGTGTGACAAGTGCCAACGCCTCAGGATCTGATCCCCTGTGCCTCCGGGTGCCCATTCTCCCCGCATGGCCACAGAGCAGATGTCACACCGAGCAGGAGCAAACCTCTTTGGGACATCCTGGAAGCTGCCCCTCCGTTCCCCCCTAACTCCTGCAGCGGGCAGTTCCTCTGTCGGGGATACAGTCCACTGTGCCATCTAGTGGGTCACAACACCGGCCGGCCTCAAAGCCAGGCAGCAGTGGGGTCCTGGCTCCACACTTCCCAGCAAGACACTCATCCGCCTTTAAACACATTTTCTTTCTTTTTTTTTTTTTTGAGTTGGAGTCTCTGTCGCCCAGCCTGGAGTGCAGTGGCCGCTCCTGGCCACCACTCCTGGCCACCGCAGCCTCGACCTGCTGGGCTCTGGCAATCCTTCCGCCTCAGCCTTCCAAGTAACTGGAACTACAGGCATGTGCTACCACGCCCGGCTGATTTTTAAATTTTTATTGTAGAGATGAGGTCTCGTCAAGTTGCCCAGGCAGGTCTCGAACCCGCGGGCTCAGGCAATTCACTCACCTCGGCCTCCCAAAGCGCGGGATTACAGGCTGAACCACCAAGCCCGGCCTAAACCCATTTTCTTACGTGGAAAATTGGAAGGACTAGCCAAGAGGGTGCATGGAAAATGCTGACCACAGCGCCCAGCATGGGAGGACAGATGCCAGCTATTGACCAAGACGCCAAGCATCGAGCAGGGTGGGGGACCTCTCTTGGCTGTTAGCACCGTAACAGGGCAAATCGGTTGACTCCAGATGACACCGTTTTAAAAAACTAAAGGTATAGATGGAGGTAGGTGACAAAGGAGATCTTTGTTGGCCAGGATGAGCTGAGGACATGCAGGGGCTAGGCCCCTCCAGTGTCTCCTACGTGTTGTCTCACTGAATCCTCAGGTCCTCCCTGCGGTTGGTACCCATTTACGAATGAGGACATGTGCCCCAAAATCCCACAAGTTGCAGGTGGTGGGACCAGGAGCTGGGGTCCACTGGACCCCAAGACTCATGCCCTTCACACTGATAACTGCACCGTGAACTGTAATAGTCCTGGGTCCTGACGGTGGTTAATCCGCGTGGCTCTGAGCCCAGGACACTGAGTCAGGCCGGCCCCCCACCACGTTTGATAATGACCTTGAGGCGATTAGGAGACGGGGAGACTGCCCTGGAACGCCTCTGGTGCTGCCTACAGGTGAGTGACTTCTCTCTGTCTGTGTCCCCAGCTGGTTGTGCACACAAGATCAGCAGTGCGGAGGGGACCCTGGCAAGCCCCAACTGGCCCGACAAGTACCCCAGCCGGAGGGAGTGCACCTGGAATATCTCGTCCACCGCAGGCCACAGGGTGAAACTCGTGAGTCATCTCGTAGTTTATTGAGAATGTGGACTTGGGTGTCAGGCAGGCACAGGTTTGAGTCTCTGCCCTGCCACTTCCCAGCACTGAAACTCAAGGGAAACTACTCACCATCTCCAGGGATCAGTTCGTTATCTCGAAAATGGGGTTGCTAAGGAAGCCCACCTCATGGCGGGGCTGTTGTGCAGATTAAAAGAGAGAATGGATTGGGTGCGGTGGCTCACACCTGTCATCCCAGCACTTTGGGAGGCCAGGACAGGAGGATTGCTTGAACCCAAGAGTTCGAGGGCAGCCTGGGCAACATAGAAAGACCGCATCTCTATAAACAATCAAAATATTAGCCTGTTATGGTGGTGCGCCTGTAGTCCCAGCTACTTGGGAGGCTGAGGAGAAGGATGGCCTGAACCCAGGAGGTGGAGGCTGTGGTGAGCCTTGATCGTGCCCCTGCACTCCAGCCTGGGTGACAGTGAGACTCCTACGAGAGAGAGAGAGAGAGAGGGAGAGAGAGAGAGAGAGAACTAGCATGCAACAGAGTCAGACGGGGGTGGGGGGAGACAGACACAGAGAGAGACAGAGACGAAGAGAGTGACAGAGTCAAAGAAAGTGAGGTAGAGACAGAGAGAGAGAGAGACAGAGAGAGACAGACAGAGAGAGACACAGACAGAGAGACAGAGAGAGAGAGCATCAGAGACAGAGGGAGACAGAGAGAGACAGAGACAGAGAGACAGAGAGCGACAGACAGAGAGAAAGACAGAGAAACAGAGAGAGCTACAGAGATAGACAGAGAGAGCGCGACAGAGATAGAGAGACAGAGACAGAGAGCGACAGAGACAGAGAGACAGAGAGCAACAGAGATGGAGAGAGAAACAGAGAGAGTGCGACAGAGAGAATGACAGAGACAGAGAGAGAACAGAGAGAGAGAGAAACAGAGAGACAGAGACAGAGACAGCAAGAGAGAGAGTGACAGAGACAGAGAGAGACAAAGAGAGAGAGTGACGGAGAGAGAGAGAGAGACAGAGAGAGATGGAGAGAAAGAAAGAGTGATGGAGACAGAGAGAGAGACAGAGAGAGTGACAGAGTTAAAGAGAGTGAGATAGAGACAGAGAGAGAGAGCGTCAGAGACAGAGACAGAGAGAGAGATAGAGACAGAGAGACACAGAGAGAGCGACAGACAGAAAGAGAGACAGAGAAAGAGTGCGACAGAGCTAGAGAGAGAGCGACAGAGATAGAGACAGAGACAGAGAGCGACAGAGATAGAGAGAGACAGAGAGACAGAGACACAGAGCGACAGATGGAGAGACAGAGTGCGACAGAGGCAGAGAGAGAACAACAGAGACACAGAGAGACAGAGAAACAGAGAGACAGAGAAAGAGAGAGAGACACAGAGAGAGCGACAGAGACAGAGATGGAGAGAAAGAAAGAGTGACGGAGACAGAGAGAGATGGAGAGAGAGAGCGACAGAGAGAGAGAGAGAAAGAGACAGAGACACAGAGAGAGCGACAGAGGCAGAGAGAGAGATGGAGAGAGAGAAAGAGTGATGGAGACAGAGAGACAGACAGAGAGAGACAGAGAGAGAGAGACAGAGACACAAAGAGAGAGCGACAGAGACAGAGAGAGACAGAGAGATAGAGAGTGACAGAGACAGAGAAGGAGAGCCTTGATCGTGCCCCTGATCAGAAAGAGAGACAAGATGGAGAGAGCAAGTGAAAGCGACACAGACAGAAAGAGAGACAGAGAGAGGCAGCACAGACCCTCTGTGTGTCTGTGAGGCAGAACAGACACCTGTTCTCGGTGGTACCAGTAGGAGGTGGCCTCTGCCGCCCAGATCTGCGGTGCTGTGGAGACCGAGTTGCTTCTCGTGTCAAGCTTTTCCAAGACAGCACATTCCCAAGAATTTTTAAAAAATGACATCGATACCGAAGATTGGAAAGTGGAAGGGAAAAGTCCCCAGATGGCTCATTCAACGCCTAGACACGACCACTCTGAACATGAGCTATGAATCCTTCCAAGAACGATCTGTACACTTACACTCATGAAGTGTAGCCTCTCTCTGTGTCTCTTTCTGTCTGTGTTGCTTTCACCCACTCTCTCATCTTGTCTCTCTTTCTGTCTGTCTCTCCTTCTCTGTCTCTGTCACTCTCTCTCTCTCTCTCTCTCTCTCTCTCTCTCTCTCTCTCTCTCTCTCTCTCTCTGTAGCTCTGTCTCTCTGTCTCTGTCTCTGCTGCTCTCTCTCTCTCTGTCTCTGTCAGGTTCTCTCTGCCTATGTCTCTCTCTGTCTCTGTCTCTCTCATGAATTCATATGCACGGGGAAAGTGTGTCATTTTCTTACTCAAACGACTCAAAAGGACTCATCCATATTGTTCTACAACAAATATATGTATGTATTTCCCATTAGCAATGGGAGACAGTTCTTTATGCTACCTCCCTCTTGAATTAAAAAAGCAAGCAATTTTCTAAGCCTTTCTTTAAAGCCTCAGCCATGCTCCGATGTGTGGTCCATACCCCAGGCTCGATTATTTCCCAGGAGAAACGGGTCTTTCCTACAAGATGCCTTTCCCAACCCCCAGGGATGCCCAGATCCTGGGGAATAAAACAAACCTTCTCACCCCCTGGAGACTTTTATAAAACGGGCCTTCCTGACTGTAGGGAGGAGCAGGATTGGCGGTGTCAGTGATGGACCCATAATCCCTCAGGGAAAGGGAAGGGAACAGAGAGGGAGAAGGGGAGACGCAGACGATGGCACAGGGACTTGGGGGACAAGGGTGATCACGGGCGACAGCCACGAGGAAGGAACTGAGGAGCGGGCTGGGCTCCTGGGATATCCAGGGGTGGAGGGAGCAGAGGCCCAGCCAAGAGTGCTCATGGCGGACACCTGACATCACGCGGTTGGATTAGCAGGAGCAACTCGGACAGATGTCCCTGGGGGATGGATGCTATGATGACAGCTGCCATCTCAGGGTGGGACAGCCTTGCACCCAGGAGAGGGTGAGTTGGCATGCCTTAGAGGGAAAGGCTCTCCTCCGCGACTGCCATCTGCTGGACAGCGTCCATCATGGCACCTCAGTCCCTGAGGCCCTCTCTGGTGGCTGTCACCCATGATCACCCTTGCGAGTCCCCGCGCCGTCGTCTGCTCTCCCCTTCTCCCTGTCTGTCCTCTTCCCTCTCCCTGAGGCATTATGGGTCCATCACTGATGGCGCCAATCCTGCTCATCCCCACGGTCAGAAAGGCCTGTTCTGTAAAAGTCACCAGCGCGCAAGAGGGGTTGTTTTATTTCCCAGAATCATGAGGCCCAGAGGGGGTGGTGCCCCTGGGGCTGAGAGCGCAGCCCTCACTGCAGGGAACACGTGTTTGTCCCTAAGAGCATCTCCCCTGCTGGCAGACATACTGGTGTCACGCTGTCTCTTGGCTGCCATGGAATGTGAGTGAACGCTTCCCAAGGAAGATGGTTCTTGCACATGGGGACAGCGACAGAGTGACCCTCCTGCTGACCTGTGGGGAGCTCCCACCTCTGGGGCCAACAGCTTTCTCCCACGCCCGAGCCAGGCTCTGCTCCCATCCCCCCTTTATGAATGGAGACCCCTCCCCCAACGAATGACCTGTCTCCCTGCTCTGTCACTGGGTCCAAGTCTTCATCGAACACGATCCCAGCTCGCCTCATACTGTCTCCCTTGACACTGTGGCTGCCACCTACCCACACCTGGGAGACCTGTGTCTGGGCCTGACATGTCTGGAAGGGTGGGCTCCCCTGGCCAGCTTCAAGGGACGGTCTTTGGGGGGGACAGAGAGGAGGGGGTAGCATACCTGGTGATGGTTAACGGTGTGAGCCAGAGAAGGCTGGCTGGGGTCAAGTTCAGTTCCATCCATCCCTCGTTGCATGAACTTGTGCACTGGGGATGGTAATAGATCTTCCTTCATGGCATCCCCAGAGTTAAGTGACAAATGCCCATAAGTGCTTAGCATGGAAAATACACTCGGCAAATGTCGGCCCCCATGAGGCTGCTGTCGGGGAGCATTTTAGAAGGCCACGACTACCCCGTTGGCGCTAAAGGCTTGTACAGGGGAATGCAGAGGTCCAGAGCAGGGTCTCTGAACTCAGGACTCCCGGATCATGGCCCAACCATGCCTCGATTTCCCCAACTGTAAAGTGGGGAGAGGAGACACACGGGGGGGTTCAATTAGGCAATTCTTTGGTTTTTTTTTGAGTTGGGGGTCTCACTCTGTCACCCATGCCAGAGTGCAGTGGCATAATCACAGCTCACCACAGCCTTAGCCTCCTGGGTTCAGGCGATCCTTCCACCTCAGCCTCTTGAGTAGCTGGGACTACAGGCGCATGACACCATGGTCTGCTAATATTTCAATTTTTTGCTGAGACAAGGACTCGCTATGTTGCCCAGACTGGTCTTGAACTCCCGGACTCTGGCGATCCTCTCACCTCGCCTCCCAAAATGTTGGGATTACAGGTGTGAGCCACCGCACCCAGCCTGAGGCGATTCTCATAAAGCACTTGCTACAGCTGCGGGCATAGGGTGAGCACTTGGCCTCGATGCCTCAGAGCTAACGAGAGAGAGGCCCCGGGTTGGGGACCAGGAAGGCGAATCTGGGCTTTCCCGCCTCACTGCTGCCAGTGGGCATTTAAACTCCAAACCCCACTGTCTCATGGCAAAGTGGTCATCGGAGCAGTCGCTCATGTGAGGCCTCCCAGGGCTGTTCTGGGGACCAAAGACAAGGCTGCATTGAGACCGCGTCGACAGGTGTCCCTGCAGCATCGTCATGGCCGCACGGCGTCACCCTGCACTCTCCCAGCCCTGGAGGAGGCTTCACCTTGCTTTCTGCCCTTCTGTCCCCAGACCTTTAATGAGTTTGAGATCGAGCAGCACCAGGAATGCGCCTACGACCACCTGGAGGTGCATGACGGGCCTGACAGCCTGGCCCCCATCCTCGGCCGTTTCTGCGGCAGCAAGAAACCGGACCCCGTGGTGGCGTCGGGCAGCAGCCTGTTCCTCAGGTTCTACTCGGACGCCTCAGTGCAGAGGAAAGGCTTCCAGGCGGTGCACAGCACAGGTACCTGGGCCTCACGGGAGGGGGCTGTGGAAGGCAGTGAGGGCTTCCTCTTGTTCTGAGTATCGGGGAGGGTGAAGGGAGAGAAAGGGGAATGCCTGGCAAAACACTCTGTTGGAAAAAAGTATCAAGCCTAGGCAGTACAGCAAGACCCGTCTCTACAAATAAAAATAAAAATAAAACATTTGCCGGGCGTGGTGGCGCATACCTGTAGTCCCAGCTCCTTGGGAGGCTGATGGGGGAGGATCACCTGAACCCAGGAGTTCAAGACCAGCTTGGACAACATAGCGAGTCCTCATCTCTACAAAAAAAAAAAAATCGAAATATTAGTCAGTCATGGTGGTGTGCGCCTGTAGTTCCAGCTACTCAAGAGGCTGAGGTGGAAGGATCACCTGAACTCAGGAGGTCAAGGCCGCGGTGAGCTGTGATTGTGCCACTGCACTGCAGCTTGGGCCACAGAGCGAGACCCTGACTCAAAATGAAACAAAATAAAACAAGCAAGCATCAGTAAGCACAGAGGAAGGTCTGCTTTCTTTAACGTTCTTAGTTGACAGCATGGGAAGTAGGCAGTCCTCCACTGGTGCCCCGTTTCTCCCCTCCCTTTCTTCCTTCTTCCGTTTAAAATATGTATTTTAGCCAGGCTCAGTGGCTCAGCCTGTAATCCCGCGCCTTTGGGAGACTGAGGTGAGTGGATTGCCTGAGCCTGCGGGTTCGAGACCCGCCTGGGCAATTTGGCGAGACCTCATCTCTACAATAAATAAAAAAATCAGCTGAGTGTGGTAGCACATGCCTGTAATTCCGGCTCCTCGGAAGGCTGAGGCAGAAGGATCGCCGGAGCCCAGCAGGGCGAGGCTGCGGTGGGAGCGGCCACTGCACTCCAGTCTGGGCGACAGAGTGAGACTCTGACTCAAAAAAATAAATAAATAAAATAAAATAAAATAAAATAAAATAAAATAAAATATGTATTTTAGCCAGGCTCAGTGGCTCAGCCTGTAATCTCGCGCTTTGGGAGGCTGAGGTGGGTGGATCGCCTGAGCCTGCAGGTTCGAGACCCGCCTGGGCAACTTGACGAGACCTCATCTCTACAATAAATCAAAAATTAGCCAGGCGTGGTAGCGCACGCCTGTAGTTCCGGCTACTCGGAAGGCTGAGGCGGAAGGATCGCCAGAGCCCAGCAGGTTGAGGCTGCGGTGGCCGGGAGCGGCCACTGCACTCCAGCCTGGGCGACAGAGTGAGACCTCCAACTCAAAAAATAAAATAAAATAAAATATGTATTTTGCTGGTCTGTGAAATCCCAACGTCTGGGAACTGGAGCGTGGAAAGCCACCCTTCTGCCCCTGTAAGAACTAGCCCTGGAAAGTGAAGACGGTTTCTGTTCCCCGTTATTTTTTTTCCTCCACTCAAAATGTAAATAGCTCTAGTGGGTCCTTTGTGATCTACTTTGTCAAACAGAGGCATGTCCGTCAGAAAATTGACAGGGTGTGGTGGCACACGCCTGTAGTCCCAGCACTTTGGGAGGCTGAGGTGGGAGGATTGCTTGCGACCAGGAGTTGGAGACCAGCCTGGGTAACATAGCAAGACAGGGGCTGTGACCTTCAGTGGAGGCCACACACCCTGACCTCTCTCTCCTCCCTCCCTCTGACCCGCGGGTGTTCCTCGTGGCTGAACTCAAGGCAGAGGGCAGGGGGCCCATCGATGCAGACAGACCAGGGGTCAACCTCCCATGGACCGAACAGAGGGGTCTCTGCCACCGCATCTCAGGAACTGGAAATTTCCAAAGACAGCTGCCACCGGGGGGGGGAAATTCTAAGCCAAAGCAAACCCAGGACTAAGATGGGGTCGTCAGGCCTGGGGCCAGGCGGGACGTGGAGCTCAGGGGGGCCGGCGGTATTAGGAACCACACAGCCCAGAATCCACCCCAGGGGGAGTTCCAGAACACGCTGAGGACGGGCCGTGTAAGAATCCATCTCCAAAATTTCTGGTGCTTTCTAATCTGGACCAGCCCCGTGTATCCATTTTAATTTACATGGAAGCAAGTTGCCAAGACACAAGACAATACCGGGCCCAGGCCAGACACACTCCCTGTCCTAGTAAAAATCCCAGAAGCAAAACCTGCAGAATACAAGCCCAAAGTCTGAGGCGCAGCTCACCCGGCGACACCTCCAGGGCCTTCAAAGTTGGCCTCTGGTCAAGTGCAGGAATGAGTCAAGCAGGGGCTGAGTTTTTGGGGTTGAGCACAGACCGGCAGTTTTGATGTTCTTTTATCGCCCTCTGTTGGCAGAAATTTCAAATTACAGCGTGTGTGCACCTTGCTCAGAAGCTTCTAGCACTTTCAGAGTGGTGGAGATTCAGCCACATCCCAGGGACCGGTCAGGCAGACCAGGCACTAACTTCGAATCTCCGTAACCAGAAGAATAAAAGCAGCCAGCTCTTTTCAGTGTCACGCTTGGGTATTCCTGAAGGCCTTATCTGGCCCATGCTGGGGACGGGGGAACTTGGCTTGTAAGGGACACCATGGACGCCCCCAGGCAGTCCTGATCTCAGTGCCAGGGCACTCTGTTTACTCCTCTGTAAAATGGGCTGGTGATACTGCCCGGCCTCTCCTGCAGGGCTCGCATGGGGCTTTGGGAGCGGGCAGGAGGCAGTGGGTGCTCTGTGCCCAGGGGGTATCTCACTTCTCTCTCGTTCCAGAGTGCGGGGGCCGGCTGAAGGCCCAGGTGCAGACCAGAGAGCTCTATTCCCATGCCCAGTTCGGGGACAACAACTACCCCAGCCAGGCGCACTGCGACTGGGTGATCGTGGCGGAGGATGGCTACGGTGTGGAGCTGACCTTCCGGACTTTCGAGGTGGAAGAGGAGGCCGACTGTGGCTACGATTACATGGAGGCCTACGACGGCTACGACAGCTCAGCGCCCAGGCTCGGCCGCTTCTGCGGCTCCGGGGTGAGGCCCGGGGACGCCGAGGCCAGGGGCGATCATCAGGGTTCAGAGCAGGAGCTGTGGGGTCAGGGCCACTCCTGCCACTTGGACCGACAGCCAGGAGGCCTCTTCTGCTGGGGCGAGTGGGAGGTGGGGAGGCCTGCGGGGAGGAGATTGGGTGAACCAGGCTCCCGTCCACGGAGGCCTCTCCCCGAGGCCAATATGGAAGAGCGCTTTTCCTCTCAGGACTTCCCCGCTGTGTTTGCAAAGGACTTCCTCCCGACCCCCCTTTTTATTTGGCCTTCAGGCTTTTAGCTATGACCAGGCACAGTGGCTCATACCTTTAATCCCAGGACTTTGGGAGGCCGAGGTGGGAGGATCACTTGAGCCTGGGAATTCGAGACCCGCTTGGGCAACATAGCAAGAATTGTCTCTTCAAAACAAATTTTTTTTAATTAGCTGGGTGTGGAGGTGCACGCTTGTAGACCCAGGTACTCAGGAGGCTGAGGCGGAAGGGTTATCTGGGCCCAGGAGGTCGAGGCTGCAATGAGCTATGGTCATGCCACTGTACTCCAGCCTGCTTGACAAAATGAGACCCCATCGCTACAAAAAAATATTTCATTATGCTTTTTAAAATATTCTCCATATTCACAAATCCCTCCCCATTTATATGCCTATAAAAATTGTGAATCACTTTCTTACTATAAACACAATAGTTAGGTTCAAGGTCATGACCGCTTTTCTCATCATCGCCTCTTCCCTAGGCCTCTCACTCTGGATGGGGCAGGCCTATTTTGGTCGCTGTTTTCCTGACATAGGGCCTGGCAAGTCGTTGGTGCCCAGTGGAAGCATGTGGACATGCAGTACAGTGTCCTGGATACTTGTTGGCTGTGCCACCCTGGTCACTGCCCATGCTGGGAACCAGCCCTGTCTTTTCCCTTGCCTCCAGGGTGATCATTCACACTTCTTTGCTATTGGCTGGATTTATGTCATTTGGTGTCACCAGTGTGCCCTTTGCTGGAGAAGCTCAAACTGGCATTTGTATAAGTCTTTGAGTCATTTCCCTTCATCTTCCCTAACCCTCTAAAACAAGAAAGAGGCTGCGGGTGGTAGCTCACATCTCTAATCCCAGCACTTTGGGAGGCCAAGGTGGGAGCATTGCTTGAGCCCAGGAGTTCAAGACTGGCTTGGGCAACATAGTGAGATCTCGTCTCTACAAAACATTAAAAAAAAAAATTAACCGGGCACGGTGGCGTGCGCCTGTAGTCCCAGCTATTCGGGAGGCTGAGGCAGAAGGATCCCCTGAGCCCAGGAGATCAAGGCTGTGGTGAACTGTGGTCATGCCCCTGCACTCCAGCCAGGGTGACAGAGTGAGACCCCCAACTCAAAAACAGAAATAAAATAAAATAAAACAAAGGATGACAGAATGTGACTTAACCAGTGCACTGCCTTTGAGAAAGTCTTCCAAACCATGGGGCCTGTGGAGAGGAACCCCTTGGAGGGTCCATGGCTCCCCTAGAACCTGGCAGGCAGCAGCCTCGGAAACTGGCTCCCACTGACAGACCACCTGCAAAACCTTTGGGACAGGACAGAGGCCTGAACAATGGTCTTTGTTTTAGGTATCCCGAGAGTCACAGCCCAATGTCGCCCCTAGAGTTGGGGGATTCATGAGACTTTCTCTACAGTCAGAAAGACCTGACCCTGGGTCCTTCCTAGCTGTGTGAACGTGAGCTTCAGTTTCCTCAAGTGAAAAATGGAGAGAGTACCTGCCTCATAATGTTGTTGTCAAGTTCACGTGAGATAAGATCTGGGAGTGCTTGGCACTGTACCTGGTCCACCTGTGCATTTAATAAATTATAGATGCTCTCTGTGTTGTGTCTGGAATCATCTTTGGAAAAGCAGGGCCCCGGGGAGCTTTCTGGAGTAAAATTGGCAGTGCTTTTCTTTGAAAAGGAGCTTATTTTGATGCCCTTTGGGTCTCTGGTGCCAGGGACACCATCCTGTGTCCTTGGGTAAGGTCCTGTCCTGTCCTCCTTATTTTCAACTCTAGTCACAGCTAGATTCTTTCTGCTTTTTTTTTGAGTTGGAGTCTTACTCTGTCGCCCAGACTGGAGTGCAGTGGCACGTTCCCAGCCACAGCAGCCTCGACCTGCTGGGCTCCGGGGATCCTTCTGTCTCAGCCTTCAAAGTAGCTGTAACTACAGGCACGCATTACTACGCCCGGCTAATTTTTTGATTTATTGTAGAGATGAGGTCTCGCCAAGTTGCCCAGGCGGGTCTCGAACCTGCGGGCTCAGGCAATTCACTCACCTTGGTCTCCCAAGGCACAGGATTACAGGCTGAGACACCGAGCCCGGCCTTACGATCTTTGTGCTTTTCCCTTCTCCCTTCCTCAGCCATTAGAGGAAATCTACTCCGCGGGAGACTCCCTGATGATCCGATTCCACACGGACGACACCATCAACAAGAAAGGCTTTCACGCCCGATACACCAGTACCAAGTTCCAGGACGCCCTGCACATGAGGAAATAGCGCCGACATCTTGAGAGACAGGAACTGAGAATGTTCTTACAACAGCACCTTGTGAATCTGCCCTAAGACAGTGTACAGTGTTTTTCTTGAACAAAAAACCCAGAATCCAGTCCTGGAGGTTTGTATTTGGATGGCAGCACGTATGTGTGGGGCCACCAAGGAGGAGAGAAGGTGCCCTTTTGATTCTGGCTGCAGCATTCCCAGTCATGGACTTTCAGAGAAGAGGAAGCCATGAGGTTTCTGCCCATTCAAGCGACACTTGTTTGTACCCATTCTCCGTACCCTTTGCTCCTGGGGCTGTTTATTCTTCTAATCGGGACATGCGTCCATAGGTGCTAGGCACTATGACCGTGTCCTAGAGACTTGGGCTGTCTTCATCTTTTTTGGACAGCAAGGATCAAAGCTGGGCTGTGACTTATGGGTCACTCACGACCTCGGCTGGAATCCTTGTCTTTCTTCCTGCCCGGTACGTCTCAGCCAGGAAACCCGAGGCTATGAGCATCAGGACTAAAAAGATATAGCGGTAAGCAGCTTGCACCGAAGAAGCTTTGAGCATGAGAGTCGTCATGAAATCAGGAGACCTCAAAGCCATTTCTGTGCATCACTGGCTCTCCTCAGCCCTTTGGGTGTTCCAGATCCCTCCTTGCACTGGGGGCTAAGGCGCCCACCATGAATTCAGCAGAGCATTCTCTGCAGAAAAGAAGACATCCCAGCTCCTCTTGAAGTGTCTTTGCTCAGTAACTTTGACGAGACAGTGCATGGGGCTTCATGGGCTTCAAAGAACATGTCTTCCTCTCTCTTTGGAGGCACGTGCTGTGGTGAACCTTGATCTCCTTGACAACTGGTTCAAACTGCATTTGCAAGATGTGCAGAGACCTCTGACGAGGGGCCAGCTCAGGTCCCTTGTGAGACAAACGCTGTTGAAGACTGATTCATGAGGACTCACATGAGAATCATGGCCTTGGGGGACGAGCCCACCAGCGATAGCTTCCTGGAACCCATCAGGTCAAAGAGCGCATGGGTCACTTTGCTCAGATGCACCAGCTTCCCATGGCCAACGGGCAATCAAAATCCACAACACTTGGCACTTGTTCTAGAGACGTGTAGAGGATGATGTTTACATAATCTTAGCACCTCAAGGTATAATTTAAACGGCGAGGTAGTTTTGAATGGCATTTCATTAAGGCATCTGTGGGCATTATGAGCTAAAAGCTGGGGTATGTTAGCTTTAAAAGAGTATTTATGTCGGAATAATTTTTAAAATAATGTTTACATAACCGTTAAGTCCTGTTTGGTGACTGTTGAACACAGGGCGACACACGAGAGATTGTTTTTAGTTAGCGCCAAGATTGCTCCCAAGCTCCAGGAATCCTTTGGGATGAGTCAGCGTCGTTTTAGACAAAGTCCTTGTAAAAGGTTAAAGGTTATATTTTTTAGAGACCAGAAAATGCCACCTGAGGACTCTGTCTAATTCAAATGGTTGCTGGGAGCAAAAACTAGAATAATACAAAGAAAGGTCAAAGAAATGCATGGGAATATTTTTCCTTAAAACAGAAAAAAAAAATTAACCTATTATTATCGGTAATAATATATGTCTGTATATATGTATGTATGTAAGGGTCAACTGTCGAAGCCTTAATCAGTGTGGCATGGGAGACGCCGACCACCCGTCCTAGCTTTCGGTGGGCCTTCCAGAAGGGGTCTATGCCGTATGCCTCTCCTCACGTCAAGCTCTGGTCTGGTCTATCTCAGTCCCACCTGCATTCTTCTGTGTTGACACGTGGCTTGTCGTCATGGCTCTGCTCTCCCCAATCTGTGGTGGTGGACACCATTTCTCTGCTTTTTGTATTTTCTAGGGTTTTGTTTTCTCTCCCCTTGTCTGTCAGAGCTGAAACTGGAATCAGGATACTTAAGGTGTCTGTGAAGGAACTTTCCTCCAAGGAAATGAAGATTCTGTCGTTTCAACCCTTAGAAGTCTAAATAAGATAAGTGGATTCCACAGAAAGGTGGGAGGGAGACAGAAACAGAGTCGATTCTGCCCCAGCATTGGCCACTCTTGGGAAAGAGTGACGCTTCTTTTTATTTCTTCAGTATGAGCATTTTAAAAAGCACACAGCTTCAATAATTGTCACCATACGGCCAATTACAGCAATGGGACCCTCATGAAACCTCTATTTAGGCCTTCTGTGAGTGAAATATTCCCAGAAAAGACAAGCTCCTCTGAAAGGTCACACTTAAGGGGATTTGTACATGATGCTGGTTCTGTAAAAAACCCCAAGACAGGCTTCATGAGAGAAAGTCCATTTGCAGAAAGACCCAGGCATAGTGGCTAGCACCTGTAATCACAGCACTTTGGGAGGCCAAGGCTGGAGGATCACTTGAGCCCAGGAGGCCAGCCTAGGTAACACAGATAATGAGATCCTTTCTCTACAAAAAAAAAAAAAATTAAAAATTAGCCTGGTGCAGCAGCACACACCTGTAATCTCAGCTACTTGGGAGGCTGAGACAGGAGGATCACTTGAGCCCAGGAGTTAGAGGCTGCAGTGAGCTATGATCATGTCACTGCACTCCAGCCTGGGTGACAGAGGGAGACCCTGTCTCTAAAATAAAAGAAGGAGAAGACGGAACCAGCCTGATTCAACTCCAGGGTAATCTGGTCTAACAGAAGGTGAACCTGGACCACAGAGCATGGTGAGGTCTGGAATTTACTTTGACCAGTAAAATTTCTCCACATAGAGAAAGGGACATTGTTCATTGATTTGCTGTTCCCTCTAATTTTCCTCCAGGGTAAAGTTTCCCTCTGTTTCTATTTTACTGTTTCCCTCTAAAGTCTCCTATTACTCACACATTGCTCAGCCTCTTTGAATGATTTGTGAAGTCTTCCTCTCCAGCAAATTCACATTGGGATTTTCCATCAGTTGGGTCCACTTGACAACTCTCCCATAATTCTTGGTATTGTTGGTGTTCGGTTTGTGAATGAAGGTTCCCTTGGCTTCAGCAGATGTGTTTAAAGTTTCCTCTGTAGACAGAACTTCTGGACAGTAATCCCAAACGCCTAAAAGATTTCTCTTTTTAAAAAAGGAAAACGGTGTAAAGTGTTATCTAGAAGTCTGTGGGTATTTTTTATTTTGTGTAATTTTTATGTTTCACGAAATGATGTCAGTTTCAAACAGGAGGTGGAGAGAAACTGACACATGTCTCTCTGTGTGGAAAGGATGGTTTCATTAAAGAATGTGGATTTCCTGATGTGTCCTGGGTTTTTGTTGCTAATTCAGACAAGTTTGGGTCCTCTTGGTGTTAATTTTCTTCAACATATGAGAACTTGGGCAGAATATGGAAAGGGGGACTTCCTTTGTGGCCACCTGCTCTCGGGTAAGTACTCAGGTGCCTAACTCAAGAACAGAGCTCACTACTGGACTGGGGAAGTCAAGTGCAAAGTTAAAGATGACTTTCCAGCGTGTCTCCTTTCCTGCATCAGAACAAGCTGGAAATCAGGCAGCCTCACTGTCATGGAGGCGGTCTGCTGCTGCAGCTGTCCAGATGTGGTAGCCGTCTTCTGTGCGTCCATCGGCTCCTTTCTCCACCCTCTTCCACCTGGCTGAGTACTACGTCTGACACCCAAGACCCCAGGTCATGACTCCCACAAAGCGACCTCCTCTCTCTCTGGGCCCTGGCAGCCCTTCCTTCCACTTGCCACCTCAGGTCTAGGGGAGCGTATGCCACCCTACCGGTCTAACCCTGGGACTGCCGTTCCCCCAAGGGGGACCTTCCTAAGTTGTCACTTGAATAGACTCGCCTCAAATATAGGGTCTCCAGGGACCCTGATGGATACAAGGTCATTTCTAACACAAAGACTGGGACTCCATCTGATACAGGACACGCTTTTCAAGTTGATTAGATGAAGAGACTTCAGGGTATGTTGGGAGTTTGTTGGGCTACATTACAGTAGGTTACTATGGGACCATATTTTTACAAGCACTCAGATTGGTCTCAGTGTAGAATCCTTTAACACATGCAGTTGTACATGGTGGCTCAAGATTTTATGACTTTTCTGCCCATTAGCAATCACCAGTTAGATAGATACATAGATGATAGCTAGATGATAGCTAGATGATAGATAGATAGATGATACATATACATACATACATACATACATACATAGACAGACAGACAAAAAGATAGATAGCTATAGAACCCCAGCAAAGTTCATCTTCTGAACCCAGCGATGAGCCCCAGTGGTGCAAGGGTAGGAATGCCAGTACGTCAGTCAGCATAGACTAGCACATGCTGCAACAACAAACAGCCCCAAATCTCAGGGGTTTTATATAAGAAAGATTGATTTCTTGTTCACACTACGTGTCTACTTCTGGTTATCTGGAAGCTCTTCCATGTCATCCTTAGGCGGGACCAGGCTGAGGGGGCAGCGGCATTGGAGCATTGCTGGTTTTTATGGTGAAGAGAATGGGAGGACGACGAATTATACACCAGCTCTTAAAACTGTCTGGAAGGGACATATGAATTCTACTCATGTTTCATTAGAGCAAGTCTTCTGGCTCTCCTTAACTCTGTGTTAAACACAGGGTGAACTAAGAACACTTGGTGGGCAGCGTTAACGCCTCTCACATGTGACATTCGTAGATAGGAAAAGGACAAGGAACCTGCTGTTCGTTTTAAAATTCTACTCTATACCCGGGCTCGGTAGCTCAGCCTGTAATCCCGCGCTTTGGGAGGCTGAGGTGAGTAGATTGCCTGAGCCTGCGGGTTTGAGACCTGCCTGGGCAACTTGGTGAGACCTCATCTTTTCAATAAATCAAAAAATTAGCCGGGTGTGGTAGCATGCGCCTGTAGTTCCTAGTTCCAGCTACTCAGAAGGCTGAGGCGGAAAGATCGCCGGAGCCCAGCAGGTCGAGGCTGCGGTGACCGGGAGCGACCGCTGCACTCCAGTCTGGGCGACGGAGTGAGACTCCAACTCAAAAAAAAAAAAAAAAAATTCTACTTGATTATTATTTTGTTACTGATACTTTAGATAAATACTTCTAAAACTCAGAACAAGGCTGCTGCAACAGGCAATGTTTCTGTACCCGCAAAATTCATATACTGAAATCCTAGCCCCCAGTGTGAAGATAATAGGAAGTGGGACCTTTGGGAAGTGATTAGGTGATGGGGGGAATTAGTGCCCTAATTAACGAGGCCCCAGAGGCCGGGCATGGGGTCTCAAGCCTGTTATCCCAATACTTTGGGAGGCCAACGTGAGATGATTGCCTGAGCTCAGGGGTTCAAGACCAGCCTGGGCAACTTGGTGAGACCGCGTCTCTACAACAAATCAAAAAATTAGCCAGGTGGAGTAGTGCCTGTAGTTCTGGCTGCTTGGAAGGCTGAGGCGGAAGAATCTCCTGAGCCCAGCAGGTCGAGGCTGCAGTGGCTGTAAGCGTGCCCCTGCACTCCAGCCTGGGCAACAGACTGAGACTCTGACTCAAAAAAAAAAAAAAAGGCCCCAGCGGGATCCCTCACCCTTTCTACCATGGAGGACACGGGAAGAACACAGCTGTCTATGAACGAGGAAATGGGCTCCCACCAAACACTGAGCCTGCTACCTCCCTGATCTTGGACTTCTCAGTGTCCAGAGTTGTGAGAAATGAATTTCTGTTGTTTATAAGCCACCAGCATCCCGAATGGACCAAGACAACCACCTATCACTTAGACTGGTCCAGCTTTTCAAGCTGACTGGTTGTTGTCCAACCAACCATCTGTGAGATTGAGCTCATACAAACTTAAGTGAATGCAAAACATAGGTGATTATCAGAGAATCTCAGACTTGGTGTCCCCAGACTCTCACCTACCAAGGGCTTTCCTTCTGCGGTTTCTAAAGAGATGGTTCTCGGGCTTAATCCTTCCAAAGGAGGAGCTCACTCACTCATCCATTCTCTCTTTAAGTAACAGTATCAAATTCCCTTCTGCACAACCACCCCCTCTTCCATCGGAGGAACCCTCATTGGGGAAACTGTCAGCCAGGTGACATGTCCTCCTTGGGCACATGAACCAATTTGGTCCTCTTCCTGGAATTGGAGACTTGATCAGAGGGGCAAAAGAATTGAGCTACTTTGGAGCTCATGTTTCGTGGAAGGATGCCCCCATGGGACTGTCTGGGTATCCCTGCTGCAGAAGCCTCAAAAACAACCTTCCTGTGTCTTTCCAGAGCTGGGTCTCTGGCCCTCTTCTTTCTGGAGGCCCACTACACCCAACCAAGCAATTCCCCCTTTTATTAAGTTAATAAAAGATCAATCTTGATGCTTGTGACCAAAGAACCATGACTGATGGACACTTAGAACAGGAGCACCACTCACCTGAAGACATCAGCAGTTCTTCCTTTTTTTTTTTGAGTTGGAGTCTCACTCTGTCGCTTCAGCCTTTCAAGTAACCGGAACTACAGGCACACGCTACTACGACCGGCTAATTTTTTGATTTATTGTAGAGATGAGGTCTCGCCAAGTTGCCCAGGCGGGTCTCCAACCCACGGGCTCAGGCAATCCACTCACCTCAGCCTCCCAAAGTGTTGGGATTACAGGCTGAGCCACCGAGCCTGGCAGCAGTGCTTCTAAAGAGATCATGTGACCATCGGAGGGAGAGCCAGGGATCAGTGGATGCATAGTAAACAGCAGTCAAGAAGGACCCCACTGACCTTGCCCATCCACAAACAGCCTCACCAAAAGGTGCTGGGGCCATGAACTGGAGTTCTGTGGTTCGGGTATGATTCCGTGCTTGCCACGCAAAGTTAGAAGCCTCATGTTTAGCAGGTGTGCTGATTCAAATCATCCAGTCACTGTAAACTGAATCATCCCCGTTTTATAGATTAAGAGATTGAGAGCTGGGCGCAGTGGCTCATGCCTGTAATCCCAGTACTTTGGGAGGCGGAGGCCAGAGGATTGCCTGAGCCCAGGGGTTCAAGACCAGCCTGGGCAACTTGGAGAGACCTCGTCTCTACAATAAATGAAAAAAAATTAGCTGGGCATGGTGGTACATACTTGTAGTTCCAGCTACTTGGAAGGCTGAGGAGGAAGGATTGTCCAGCAGGTTGAGGCTGTGGTGGCTGTGAGCATGCCACTGCACTCCAGCCTGGGCAACAGTGGGACTCTGACTCAAAAAAACAAGAGATTGAGACTGGAAAAAGCATCCCCTGGGGATGCCCCTGCCTCCCTCTGATAAATTAGAGCATCTAGGGGGTGGGACACAGGCATTAGGAATTTTGACAGTCCTCCCCAGTGATTCAGCTGCGTGGCTGGAATGGAAAGCCCCCCCCCATTAAAGGCAACCTGGTTACTAGACTGCTTTTGTCATGGTCACCAGCAGCCCCCATACTGGGAGTCAGATGGCTCCTCTGATCTGGTCCTAGGCCACCTGTCAGCAGCAATTGACACAATTATCAGCCCCCCCATCCCACTTCTTGAAACATTTCTGTGACCCCAAACTTCCCTGATTTTCCCACCTTACTCAGCTTTCCTCGTCACCCCTCTTCCAGGCCCCAAGTGTCCGTGAGTCCCCGGCCTCCGTGCTGGCCCTGCTGTGCCTCCCGGCTCGTGCACGCCTGTGGCTTTAAAACCATCCGAAGCCGACGACCTCTCCCAGATGGATATTGTCAGCCCCTGACCACCTTTAACCAGTGGCCTGTGGCATCACCACTCGGATAGCTCACAGGCTACGCAGCTGTAAGGGAGAAAAAAAACGAGCTCTGGTCCCACACCCCCAACTGTTTCCAGTGTCACCTGCCCAAGTGGGTGGTGCCTCCACGTCCTCTGTCCGCCCCAAGCCCAGGAGCCGGCTTCCTTCAGCTCCGTCCTTCTCCCTCTCCCACCCCGTAGGTTTCCCGCCATCGAGTCCCACTGCATCCACCCCACAATCAGACCCACATTCCTGCCCTAATCCCTGTTTCCTCTGTCCTCATCCCACGGCTGTCCCCATCGCTGGCCTGGATTGGCCACAGCCACCTGCCTCCACTCTTCCCTGTCACCAGCCGTGAGAGCATCCCTCTGTCCACCGAAAGCCCTAGAAGGGCTTCCTGTTGCCCTAAGAATGAAAATCTTACTATGCCCTACACACATCAGAAGGGCTTGAGCTCACTCTGTCTCTCACCCTTTCCGGGTCACTCCCTGGTTCGTGTCGTTCCAGCTGACCAGCCTTCTTGGGTTTCCTTCCTGCACTGCACCTGCAAGCTTTGCCTTGACCCTGCCTTCTGCCCAGGCGCTCTCCCCAAGCCCTTCCCAGGTCTGCCCTCTCCTCATCACCCAGGCGTGACTTCCATGCCATTTCCTGGAGTCATCCAGACCAGGCCTCCCATCACCTGAGAAAGTGGTTTTCATGTAAATAACCAAACTGTTGATTTTAATTCTGTTTTGAAGCCGACTCATTCATCCTTCAAACTCCTAACAGACTAACTATAAGACATAAAGCAGCTTGGGTCTCCAGCCTCCCCGCTCCTGGAGGCTTCCCACACTAAATGCAAGGACGGAGAGGGAACGAGGCCAGCGAGCATCTGTCCTCTGCATCACCAGAGCCCTGTCACACACGCAGGACAATTGGCATCCTCTTCCAGGCACCCTCCACGTTGATGCTGACCCCATCGTGGTTAGGAACGCGGTGGATGTGGATTCCAGTCGACTGGGGATGGAGCGGCCAGCCTCAGCCCTGTGTGACCCATTGTTTTCCGAGAGCTGCCAGCTGCAGAAGCCCCCAGGCTCTCGGACCAGCTGTGGCCTCTTTGCTGAGACAGAGGCGTAGCCAAGGAGGACAGAAAGTGAAGGCAAAGAGGGCGGGTGAGCCAGGCTGCACACAGTGGCCAGGGACCAGGAACCCATCTTTCCAAGGGACGGGCTGAGGACTGGCTACTCCCCTGACCATAAATGGCCTGGCCAGGGCGCTGTTGGGGCCACCTCTCACCCTGCCTTCCCAGCTCTCCCAGAGGAATGTTCCTACAGATGGGAGACGCAAGCCAATAACGCCAGGGAGAAAGGAGCTTGCACGGGCAGTGTTTGGAGAAGATTCTCGGGAGGTCATCGGAAATGGTGAGTCATGACAAGCTAACATCTCTCCTGGGCCTCACCTGCATTCCTCTCTGTAAAGCCACGCCCAGGCTTCTAATGCTCACCTCAAATTCAGTCACGTGTACCATGAAGTCAAGGAGCTTGGTTTTCAATTGTTTCCTTATATGCAAAATACTAATCATTTAAAAAAATTTTCCACCTAATATTTGCTGATCTCATCTTGTATTTTCATATTAAAGTTTTTTTTTTTAAAGCTCTAATACAACAAGGGTACAGGGTGGATGCTTCAGCTGTATTACATTGAAGCTGTGGGTCTCATCAATGGTTTTGTCTTTCTTTCTTTTTTTTTTTTTGAGTTGGAATCTCACTCTGTCACCCAGGCTGGAGTGCAGTGGCCGCTCCCGGCCACCACAGCCTCGACCTGCTGGGCTCCAGCTACCCTTCTGCCTCAGTCTTCCAAGTAGCTGGAACTACAGGTGCATGCTACCATGCCCTGTTAGTTTTTTATTTATTGTAGAGATGATATCTTACCATGTTGCCCAAACTGGTCTCGAACCCGAAAGCTCAGGTAATCCTCTCACCTCGACCTCCCAAAGTGCTGAAACTACAGGCGTGAGCCACCGCGCCCAGCCTTGTCTTTCTTTTTTGTCCCATCTGTCTTCTGCTACATCGGCAGCAATATAGATGCTCATAATTGCATTAGAAACTTTCCATCTTTCATGTGAACCTGTGATATGTATTCAGTTGTGACTCAGTCAAACGAAGCTTGCTAAGTTAGAAGGGAAAACAAAAGAGATTTCTATCATTTCTTTATTTAAGGATTATGGAAACAACTAGGTGTCTGTCAATGGACAGATGGATAAAAGAATTGTGGCTTGGCCGGGCGTGGTGGCTCAAGTCTGTAATCCCAGCACTTTGGGAGGCTGAGGTGAGGGGATTGCCTGAGCCCACGGGTCTGAGACCAGCCTGGGCAACTTGGCAAGACCTCATCTCTACAATAAATACAAAAATTAGCCGGACGTGGTAGCATGTACCTGTAGTTCCCGCTGCTTGGAAGGCTGAAGCAGAAGGATCGCCTGAGCCCAGCAGGTCGAGGTTGCAGTGGCCATGAGCGTGCCACTGTGCTCCAGCCTGGGTGACAGCGTGAGACACCAACTCAAAAAATAAAAAAAGAAAGAAAGAAAAAAGAATTGTGGCATATATGTATGACACACATACACACATACACATATATATGGAGGCTTTTATGCTAAGTGAAATAAGTCAGACACAAAAAGAAAAATATTGCAGGATCTCACTTATCTGTGGAATATCTTTTTTAGAGAAAGGATGACTGCAAGAGGTTGAATTCAGTCTTTGGAGTTAGGAGAATCTGTGAGGTACCCCGATTTCACACTTGCAAGCTAGCGCTTGGTTAGTTTTCACACCTATGGGGTTGGAGCATCTCCTCATGGGGAAGCTGTGAGTGTGGGTACACAGTATACCCTCAGTCTCTCAGTCAATCTCTCCCTCTGTCCCCTTCTCAAACAGCAAAGCAATAAGGAGAAACACTCAGCCCCTGAGACCCCAAAGCGCTCTCAGAATCACTGTGTAGCTATGACATGCGACTCAGACTGGCAATAATCCATAAGTGTCATGTATCGGATTCTGGTACTTTGCATGTTGTGAATTCACACTGTAATTCCATCTTGGCAATTCCATGCCAAGAACTTCCCAAAGAGGTCCCCCACGCCCAGCTCGGTGCTGGCCAGGCCATGAAGAATGTGCTATCACATGGTCCTTCACACACCTGGGGCATTTTGCAGTTTGAAAGGAAGAAGCTGCCACCAACATTATTGGGTTTTCTTGGAGTTTATCCTGTGAAATAAGCAGGGCCAGTTGGTAGTATCCCATTCTGAGGATGGGAAAATTGAGCCCAGAAGAATAGACTTGTTGGAGGAAATGGAGACCAGGGAGTTTGAATGACTTTCCCAAGACCACACAGCTGTGGAGTGGCTGAGTGTGAACTCGAATCCAGATCAAGTGGCTCTAAGCCCAGGGTGGCCTCACCCCACCCAGCTGTGTCCCTTAAAGGTCACTGCATCAGATTCTTCTCCGCCCCCTTGTGTGTGCAATGTTTTTCTCTCCATGACAGCACTGTACTGTGTTTCTGCAAAATATGAATGTCTTTCTGAGGTTGGCCAAAGTCTTCGTCATCCAAATGTTGATAAACAACGCATGCAAAGCCCACTTATGGCTGCCTCGCCTCTTCTGCCATCTGCCAAAGGAAGCTTTGTCTCGGGCCTGCTGAGATCAGTGCGCAGAGCCCACTGATGAGCTCAGGCTCTGGGCAGCTGCGTCTAGTGCAGTGACTGTCAAGTGTCCCCCAGCATCTGTCAGCTTGGTTGGTGTTCGCATGAACACCTCACCCCAGTGGTGAGGTCCCTCGAGCAAGAAGATCCTGACCTAAGAGGCGCAAATAAATGTTTCTCCTGTTCTAACTCCATCCTAGAAGCAGCAATGTGGAGTGTTGTGAGCCTGGTTGCTCCATTTCACCTGCAGAAGCCTCAGGAGTGGTTTGAAAGCCTGTGGGGTGGTGGAAAGAGGCTGTCATCAGAAGACAGTAGACTCTGGGACTACTAACTAGCTGTGTGGACTTAGGCAGTCTGTTCAAATTCTCAAGCCTTGGTTGGTTATGCCAATGAAAAGATGCCAAACTCTGTAAAATATTTGAAGATAGTTTATTCTGAACCAAACTTGAGGCCCTAAGCTCAGGAACACCCTTCCTCGGGAGGTCCTGAGAACGTTTGCCCACTGAGGCTCAATGGTGACTTGGTGATATACATTTTAGGAAGACAGAGGTTACAAGAAACCATAAATCAATACGTGTGAGTTTTTCATTAGTTTGGCCCAGGAAAATGAGATATTTCCAAGTGGGAGGCTTGCAGTCATAGGTGGGTTCAAAGGTTTCTTGACAGGTAATTTGTAGTTTCTATCTAAGGAATTTTGGAAATCAGTTGAAGAGATGTTTTGTTTGAGATAAGGAGGTGGAAAATTCCAGGTTTGTTGATATGTAGATGAAATCCCATATGTGGCAGACTTCAGAGAGGACAGATAAGTGTCTTACAAATCAGGAAGTGTGGGGGTCCTGCCCCTGCAGGGATCGAGCGTCTCTGGTGGTGTGACGGTGTCAGCAATTTAAACTGGAGGGATAGATATAAAGAGAAAGAAGGGAGGGGGGGAGAAAGAAAGAGACTGGACTCCTGCTCAAGTGACCAGAAGCTGTTTAATGGGTGTAATCTCAGGGCTTTTATCCCCAAACTCTGCAAAGTTATCATCACGGGAACTCCTACTGCTATGGTTACACAAAAGGTAGCATGTGCCTTTCACATGAGCAGGTCCAGGTGCACACAGCACACCCCCCCCACTCTCAAGCAGATGTATATTTCAAACATAAGGAAAAACGTGAAGTTCTTATCCAGTTTCTATGTACCCTTAATTGTTTATAGCTACATAACATCGTTCAATACTTACACCTAAAACCAACATAATGATATATTGCCTTTTACTATTCTATGCTAATTCAAACTGGTTTCTATAAAACAGTTGGTGCTATGGTTACTCTCTCCTAGCACCAGCCGGCCTAATACAAACTTCACTGGTTCCCCTAAATCAAACTGAACTAACCACACTTCTATAATAAAATGGTTACTAAAATTTTCTTAATCTATATACAGTATTTTCTAAAACCTCTATCTATAAATTTCTGAAAGTCATATCAAGAGAACCTGTGATCTGCACTAAGGCTCCTCAATGTGACTCAAAGTTGAACTTGAATTGTTTAAAAGCAAAAACCATAAACTGTGGAAAATGGGAACAATAGACTCCCAAGTTAGCTGTGTTCATTCCGGTTTCAGAGTCCTCTGTTAGAGCCAGCTGGAGCCTTTCCTGGTTGCTTGTGCCAATGGAAAAGGAGGGAAGGAATGGGGTCTACAGCTTCTGAACACATCCTAGTGGTCTCGGGGTCAACGGTCCTTCCTGATCCCTCATGCTCAGTGGGCCTCCGTGGCCGGCTCCCAACAAGGGAGTCCACAAGAGATGACTTTGCAGGGCCATAAAATAACTTGAATTCCTTCTTTATTCATGATGTGATATCATGCTAGAGTCAGGTTGGAAAACAGACTTTTTAGAATATGCAGTACTAGGGTCATAAAATCGTATCTGGTGAGTCCTTATCAGGTGTGACTTCCCAAGCCTCTTAGGAATTTGGGTAAGAGGCAAAAGGTCAGGTTTAGTCCTCAAGTCTCTATCAAATGTGAGTGCCCTATTGCCAAGTGACAGAGAAGTGACCAGAGTCACTAGAAAGTGTGCTGGCAGGCAGGGCCACCTTAATTGAAGGGTGACATCTTTGGGGCAGGAGCTGGGGGGAGTACACATATAGGTACTTAAAACACTTGTGGACTGGGTGTAGTGGCTCAAGCCTGTAATCCCAGCACTTTGGGAGGCTGAGGAGAGAGGATTGCCTGAGCCCGGGGGTTTGAGAACCGCCTGGGCAACTTGGTGAGACCTCATCGCTACAGTAAACCAAAAACTTAGCTGGGCGTGGTGGTGCATGCCTGTAGTTCCAGGTACCTGGAAGGCTGAGGCGGAAGGATTGCCTGAGTCCAGCAGGTTGAGGCTATGGTGGCTGTGAGCGTGACACTGCACTCTAGCCTGGGCGACAGAGTGAGATTCCAACTCACAAAAAACCAAAAACAAACACAAAAAACCACTTGTGATTCACAAAACCTTTCCTCATTTATGAGCCCATCTGAATCCCAGCCCACCAGTAAGTTGACCGAGATAGGTATTTAACCAAGTTTGCATATCCTGGGCTCCCTCTTCTGTTGCCATCTTTCAGGTGGGATTTGAGTCACACAGAGTCAGGCCCATCTGGAATGTTTTAAGACAAAAGCTCTAATTGTTTTCATTTATCCACAGCATAATTTCTGGTGAGTCTCTGGGTCTTGGTTTCCTCTTCTATAAAATGAGGGTTTTGAGGTCCATGGTCTTGGAGGCAAACTCAGGTGTGAAATGTTATGATTCTTTTGCATTCTTCATAAGATTCCGACTGTCGGGTGACATGTCATGTAAAAACTCAGCAACCGTATTGCTTCTAGAATGGTGGAAACTGGGCTTGAGAGGCCTCTGGGACGATGAGGAGAAGCTGTTTTGGGGGCGGAGTCCTAGGGAGGCCGGGCCAGAAGTGGGCCTAGCTGGGGGACCATTAATCAGGGGCAGTTAGACCCATGAGGTAGAGGGTCCAGAGAGGAAACAAGACCCCTTCAGCTCAGGGAAAAGAGAGGCGGAGAGTGTCACCAGTTGAGTCACAGCAGGGTCTGCCCTTTGTTCCCATCCAGGGAAGGCGCTTGGTAAGGAGCAGCCTGGAGGGCCTGGCATCAGCGAGCCCAAACTGGGGTGACAGGGCTGGGGACAGGGAGGAGAAATGAGCTGCCGGAGACCTGGGCGGGCCTGACCCAGATAAGTGGGCACTTGGGCAGGCTCTGTGGTGCCCCGTGAAGCCATGAGCTTTGGATAATTGGGGAGAAGAAAGATCAGCTGTCCAGGGAGGGGAGGGAAGAGGAATGTCAGCTTCTCTGTCATCCCTACCTGCTCAACTCCAGCAGCCTAAAGCCTCTGTCTCAGACTCAGCAAACACGCAAGCCTTGTCTTAGCTTGCCCTGGGAAGGGAGTTTAAGGACTGGGTGATCTTTTGGCCTGTGCCCCTGACTTTCTGTCCTGAGCAGAATGTACAAATTGCTTTTTTACTTATTTATTGTATTTATTATTTTTATTTCTTAATTATTATAAAGATATGGGATACAATTTAGGGTTAGGTATACAAACATTGATTATGCAGGGACCCTTGTTGGTGAGGTGCGCCCCTCCCTCCCCTGGCAGTTTCCCTCCGCTGCCAATCCCATATGCAGCCATAAGGAAGGCAAACCCAGGGACTTCACAGCAACTTGGATAGATTTCGAGTCGATCATACTCAGTGATCTATCAGAAACAAAGAACAGAGTACCTTATGTTCTCACTCCTAAGAGGACCTTGGGCAAATTGCTTTTAAATTCACGCCGTCCTCTCCCTGAAAGGAGTTCTGGGAAATTAAAAAAAGCCATGGCAGCGCTTTGCTGAATTTTTAGCAGTGTTCTTGCCGCCCCTGTGGATGACCTCTCAGGCAACATCCTGTCTGAATGGCCCCTTTGCCTGGCCAGGATTGAGGACCTGGTGTCGGCCGACTGACTTGGGGCTGGGGGAGGAACCTCAGCCTCCTTGGCTCTCCCTGCTTCTTTTAGGGTGGAGACTAGGCCTGAGGCCTGGGGCTGGTTGAGCCAGTAGGATCAGGGATCTCTTGGAATCTGCCAGAGATGGGGGTAGAGGGTTGAGGGGAGGGTTAGAATTTGCAGACCATTCCCGGGAGCTTGACTGTGGCCTTCTCTCCTGTAGGGTTTCTCTCTGAACTTCACGTTGCCGGCCAACATGGTGAGTATAGCAGCCCCAGGCACCAGCAGGTCAGCCAAGGCCAGTGTGGAATCCACACCCGGTCTCCAGTGTGATCACACAAACCTCACACGCGGTGATGAGTCACCCGGTCTTCCAGAGGCACTGAGGCATAACTGAGGGGTGCCGAGAGAAATTGTGTCAATCATACAACTTACAGATGCACATCTTGAAAAGGAAAACAGAAAAAAACAGCAAAGCCCTAAATTCCCTTGAGCAGAAAACATTGGCGGAACACCTTCCCGTCCTGCTTACATAAACTTTGACTTTTATTTTTGTAGGGCCACAAGGAAAAGTTCCCCTTGGCCCTCCCTCTGAAGGTTTGTGGAAAAATCAACTCACAAAAAGCAGATTAGTTGGAGAAAAGGCTTACAAATGTATTTAACGTGTATACAGAGGGTGCCCCCAAAATGTATATTTTGGGAAGGAAAAAACATTTTAAGGAAGGAAAAAACAGTGTTATAACCAAAGATGAACCCAAGTCACGTTTGACTTCTGCAATTACAAGAGGTGCTCAAAGTGGTTCCCATCAGTGTCCAGACACTTCTGATGATGGCAACCTGAAAGTCCTACATGGAAAACATCGCTTAAAATGCTTATACGTTTTTTTGGCACCTCGGTACATGGGAGCCTTCAGAATGAAGACCCAAAGACACAGGATAAATTGTTTTTATGCTTAGTTTCAACAAAGTATAGACCGCTGTGTAGAAATATGACTGGACAAAAAGTGTGTGATATAATCTTCATAGACTGAATGATAACACCCAGCAAGCACATTGGTCTATATTCTTCTTAGCTTCTCTGAGCAACCTTCTTTTTCTTCTTGATATGGGGCGGGACTCTTTCTAAAATAGTGGTCTTGTGACCTACCATCAAATGAGGTAGGTTGGAGAATCTTTTTTTTTTTCTTTTTGAGTTGGAGTCTCACTCCTTCGCCCAGGCTGGAGTACAGTGGCATGCATGCCCATGGCCACCCCAGCGTTGACCTGCTGGGCTCCAGTGATCCTTCCGCCTCAACCTTTCGTGTAGCTGGGGCTATAGACGTGCGCTGCCACACCCAGCTATTTTTTAATTTAATTGTAGAGATGAGGTCTTGCCAGGTTGCCTGGGCTAGTCTTGAACCCACGGGTTCAGGCAATCCACTTGCCTCAGTCTCTCAAAGTGCTGGGATTACAGGCTGAGCCACTGTGCCCGGCCAGGAGAATTTCTTTATGACCAGTTTTCATATGGAAAGGCGAGGGAAGTCGGGTGTGGTGGCTCAAACCTATAATCCCAGCACTTTGGGAGGCCAAGGCAGGAGGATCGCTTGAACCTAGGAGTTCAAGACCAGCCTGGGCAACTTGGCGAGAACTTGTCTCTACAAAAAATAAAAAAAATTGCCAGGTGTGGTGGCACGTACCTGCAGTCCCAGCTACCCGGAAGACTGAGGTAGAAGGATCATCTGAGCCCAGGAGGAGCTTGAGGCTGCTGTGAGCCGTGAGTATGTCATTGCACTCTGGCCTGGGCAACAGAGTGAGACCCTGACTCAAAGCAAACAAAAAATTAAAGGTTTCCAGTTATGGATGGTGTACAGTTTCAACCCACAGTTACTCTTGCACCTTCTGTTATGCTGTGAAATGACAGCACTAACAACCAGGTTGTTTTCTGATCAATTGTCCTGCTATGATTGTGCGAGACATTTTCCTGGCCTAGTTTTTTAGTAAGTTCGGTCGTGCCAAATTTTTCTGATAATTTATAAGTTATTCAAAGTGAATAAACTGAATCTTATTAGTAAGAGGACTCCTAAGCCAGTACTTATTGTACTGAAATATAAAAGCATAATTCTAGAGAGTAGCAGAAAGCTAGAGTCTTGTGAGTTATTGCCAGACTTCTGGTACCCACCATTGTCTGCCCTGGACGTCTCTGTCCCAAATTGTTGGCATCTGTCCCAGGTTCTGGGGTAGGAGGGGGCTTGCACTGCCTCCCTGCTTCAGCCTCTGCCTGTTGTCTGCAGACCAATTCCCTGATCCCACCTCGCCTTGCCTGTCAACACCTTTTCCTTCAGCCCTGGCTGGAACCTCCCGCATGGCTGCCAGAACCCGCCAGGTCTGTAGAGACCCAGACACAGATGTTGTCCTGGCTTGGCCCATCATATCAAGATAACACAGAGAAGCTGGAAACCATTGCTCAGGGCAGTGAGGGCGTGTGGGGTGGGAGGAAGGCTCTCACGGGGCCAGTTCATGCCTTCCGGAGATGCTTTTTGGTTAGCAGCTCACTTCTCTGAGAACTTTCTCTGAGAACACTTTGTACCTGCATAGGGCAACCAACCACCCAAGTGGGTCTGGGCTCTCTGCTTCCAGCACCAGAGGTCCTGTGTCCTGGGCAGCTTCTCTGGCCATACTGCCTGGGAGTTGCATTTTGATTGCATGGCCTTGCCCTTCCTGTGGAGCTGATGGACTGGGGATGTCTGCACCCTGGGGAGCAGGGAAGAGGTGGACTCCAGCACCTCTCTACAGGGTGGTTGGGACAGGGCTACCTCTACGAGTCTCCTGCTGGGCCACACTGAACCACCGAGAGGAAAGCACTAGGTTGGGGTGCTGTGTTGGGTCCTGGAGATCAGGGAGCACAGTGGCTAAGGGCATGGATCCAGGAGCCAGACTCTTTGGGGTCTGTCACCCTGCACAAGTGACTTCACTTCTCTGTGCCTCACTGATTTTGTCTGCCAAATGGGGATCTAGTTCTGCTTTCTCACTGGCTGTTGTGAAGAATATGTGGCATTTTCTTTCTTTTTTTTTGAGTTGGAGTCTCACTCTGTTGCCCAGGCTGGAATGCAGTGGTACGTTCATGACCACCGCAGCCTTGACGTTCTGGGCTCAAGTGATCCTTCTGCCTCGGCCTCCTGGAACTACAGGCATGTGCCATCACGCCTGGCTAATTTCTTTTTTTCTAACTGTAGAAATAAGGTCTCACCAAGTTGCCCAGGCTGGTCTTGAACCCGTGGGCTCAGGCAATCCTCTCACCTCAGCCTCCCAAGGTGCTGGGATTATAGGCATGTGCTTTTGTGCCCTGCCCGTTGTGAAGAATAAATGAGTCAAAAACTCCATCTGGAGAGAGAGCAGGCATACAGGCTGAGAGGAGCCTGGGTGGAAAGACATGCTGCTCTGGAGAGATGGTGCGGGGGTGGGGGGGAGGGCAGGGGGCGGAGAGGTGGAGAGCAGGGGGGTGGGGAGATGGAGAGAGCTCCAGTCCCTGGAGAAGGCAGCTTCCCATCTGCCCCGGGCTCCAGAGGGCACCCCTTCCTCCTTAGAGTTAATTCTTCCTTTGTGCTGGTCAAAGCCACCCCAAGTAAATTCCTGTAATCAGAAGATATCTGAAACAGTGGCTGACTCTTCCCGCCATCCTTAGAGCACTTTAGGTGAATGCAGAATTAAAGTCACATGGGGGGGGGTGGGTTATGCTTAGGTAAAAGAGTGACCATTTAAGTACCAAGTGTCAACGTCTAGTTATCAAATTCCTCTTCTGATGGGAGCTTCTGGAAAAGAGGTCTGGACCTGGAATTCAAACACCCAATTTCAGGTTAGATTTCTCTGGGGGATTTTGGATAAGTCTCATCATTTATCTGAGATCTGTGACTTTTTTTTGTAAAAAAGATATTATTTGTCAAAAGCCTAAGCCCCAGGGATTCCAATGGACTCACTGAGGTTGTGGAAAGGATTAAATTAATAGCAGATCTGATCAGAGTTTTGCAGCGTTTAAAGGAATGATGAAAGCTCACACTTCTGATACTCACTCGATCCACCCAACATCCCTAGAGGTATAGCTAACATCCTACCATGTAGACGACGCAAGGTCCCTCAGCCTGTGAGTGGAGAAATTGTCATTCCATGGTGGGCAGTGTGACCCACACCCTTCAATTCACACACACTCCTTAGTGTCACTTCCATAGTCAGTTGCTCATGGAGAACTTTGTTCTTGAGATTTCTTGATCAAGAGAAGGCTTTCGCCCGAAATACCCCATAAATGAGTGAAATTCAGTGAAGATGTGAACCGGACACACATCATGTGCTTGCTCCATGTGGGGTTACCCTAGGAGTGTGGATAGCTCACAGCCTCCGCCGTCTGCCTCATGACATGCTTGTTTGAAAACAAATAAGGCTTCCTTAAAGAGTCTTGCTTTCACTGGTATTTATGTTTTCCTTCAAGCAACGTTACAAATCTCCCCAAAGGGTGCGGGTGCGGGGTCTAGGGACAGAGGAAGTCATTTAAGTTATAAAATATGTTATGGCAAATCCACAGGGTGAATAATGAACACATCACTGGAATTTCTGAATTATTTCTCCTTGTAACCAGATTTTATCCCAATTCTTACCTGAGAAGCCATCAAGTAAGGTTCTGATTGGCGATTGTCATTGACAGAAAGTTTCGCAGAGGGGCCAACTTCAGGCCTACCAGTCTAACCTTTCACAGACCGTCTCGTGTAATGTATGTTTTATGGATTTTGTCCTTTTCCAACGCGTGTTCTTCTTCCACACAGACGACCGCTCCTGTCACGGGTGGGAAAGAGGCCGTAAGTACATCCCTTAAGTTCCCGGGGCTTAGTCATCGCAGATGGCATTCACCAAGTGTCAACAGAAGAAGCCAGACACAAGAGAACCCAGGTCTTACACATGCAGCTGTATGATGTTGGAAAATAGACAGACTCATCCATGGTGATGGATTTCATGACAGCGGTCACTTACGGGGAACTGGGAGTGAATGTGACAGGGGCTGGGAATGTTCTGCGTCTTGATCTGGGTGTTGGTTTTATGAGTGTTTTTCTCATGTGAAAGGTCATCAACCTATATATTTATGATTCGTGTGTTGTATTATTCTTCAGTAAAACCACCCCCTCCCAAAAGGGAAGGAGAAACCAGTATTATGTCAGCTATACATTTATAGGAATCCTGAAGGTCAACTTCAATGTTTCCAGATAATAGGCAGTTCTGAAAACTTAGGTGGCTTCAAGCATGGCTCTTCCCACTCAGAGCAAAGCAAAGTGGGAATCTGAACGTTAATTGGTTAATGCATCTAATGTAAACCTTTTTTTTTTTTTTTTTTTGTCTGAGCCTCACTCTGTCACCCAGGTTTGGAGTGCAGTGGCACAGTCATGGTTCACCTCAGCCTTCACTTCCTGGGCTCAGGCGATCCTTCCACCTCAGCTTCCCAAATAGCTGGGATTACAGTTGTAAGCCACTATACCCACCTATTTTTTTTTTTGTAGAGCTGAGGTCTCGTTATGTTGCTCAGGCTGGGCTCAAGCATCCTCCTAATTTGGTCCCCCAGAGTTCTGGGATTACAAGTGTGAGCCACTGTGCTTACTCAGCCGAGTGTAAACAAAATTTAAAAAATATACATCAAAATGGTGTGATATTTGATAAAAGCCTTTTCTTTTTGCCAGGCTGCTGGGTGAAAATGGTATTGAATTGTTGGTCTGAATTTTTTCTCAGCTTTTCCTGTGTGGAGGAAACATTTGTGTTTCTGTTCCTAAGAATACCTGTTCCTACCTTTTGCCCATTTTTTTTATTGGACTATTACCCTTTCCAATTGATTTGAACTATGGAAATTAAGTCCTGTGAAAGCAAATCATTTGGCATGTATGTTATAAATATTTTCACAGTGCTTCATTACCCTTTTAATTTTGTATATGACATTTAGGGTCCTTGCAGGTTTTCTTGTTTTGTTTTGTATTATTGAGTTTTTTCTTCATTCCTGAAGACTCTGGGCTTCCCTGAGTCTGAACTTTTCTCTCTCTGCCAGGACTGTGGGCCCTCTCTTGGAGTGGCTGCAGGCATTCCAACCCTGGTGGCCACAGCCTTGCTGGTGGCTTTGCTATTTACTTGGATTCACCGAAGGAGAAGCAGCATTGAGTCCATGGAGGTGATTATCAACTTTCTTGAATCTGGACATGTAGGCAAGAATTGGCATTTCAGTGAACTGGCTTTTGGGCTAAGGGTGTCAAAATTCAGGGCCCATGTCTGTTTCCTGAGGTCGAGATGGTGGAAATTTCTGTGCCACAATTTCCACCTCAAACTTGACATTATGCACCAGACAGCTGATGTGTCATATGACCCTCAGGTCAGTTGAGGAAAACATGGCAAACACATGTCTGTATAGTGGGTGTATTTTCTAAAGTTGAGAAACCAAAGGGCACAAGCTTCACAAGAGAGGATGAAGACTGGTAAGACAGGGGACAAAAGATGCTGAGGTGTCTATGTTTAGGGACATGTCCAGAGGTATGTGACTCTATTTATCTTTGCTTTTTCTCCTCATCTGAATATACATAATTAATAAGAGAATCTACATCTAAGCCCCCCACCCTCTGAATGCCAGGTTGCTCTGAGGAGCATGCTTAGAATGCAAAGTCTACCCAGACCCATATCCAACAAGGTTCCATGGTTGTGATTCAGCTGGGTCATGTGGGCGCTGGATTGTAATCTCATTCTCTAAGAACATTCATGGTGGTCCCCACACTGGCAAGCATTAGTGAGGATATACAAAATCAAGGTTCTAATCCTGTCACTTTGTGATTTATATGATCCAGAACACACGACAACATTTTCTACGCCTTGGTTAGTTCAGAATCACAAAATTACCTGCCTTTGTTTAAAAGGTAGGCCAAGTTGTAAGAATGAAATGAGAGCATAGGTAATGAACATCTTTACATCACACGTAAAGATTTATTGACAAGTTGTAACTTTTTTTTTTTTTTTTAGTCGGAGTCTCACTCTGTTGTTCAAGCTGGAGTGCAGTGGCACACTCACGGCCACTGCAGCCTCGACCTGCTGGGCTCAGGTGATCCTTCCGCTTGAGCCTTCCAAGTAGCCAGAACTACAGGCACGTGCTACCACGCCCAGCTAATTTTTTATTTATTGTAGAGATGAGGTCTCACCAAGTTGCCTGGGCTGGTCTCGAACCTGCGGGCTCAGGCAATCCACTTGCCTTGGCCTCCCAAAGTGCTGGGATGTCACTGAGCCCAACTGACAAGTTGTAACTTTAAACACATTAAGAAGTACTGTGGTTGGTGGCAGTATTACTTATATAATTAATAGCTTCTCAACCTTTAGTGCACTTTAAAATCACCTGGAAAGCTAAAAAGATAATACCAATTACCAAACCAATTAAATCAGAATTTCTAGATGATAGAGTTGTGGCACTAATCTTTTAAAAACAAACAGACAGCCAGGCTCCGTGGCTCAGCCTGTAATCCCAGCACTTTGGGAGGCTGAGGTGAGAGGACTACCCGAACCCATGGGTTTGAGAATAGCCTGGGCAACTTGGTGAGACCTCATCTCTACAATAAATAAAAAAATTAGCCGGGCGTGGTGGCGTGTGCCTGTCGTTTCAGCTACTTAGAAGGCTGAGGTGGAAGGATCATCTGAGCCCAGCAGGTCGAGGCTGTGATGGCTGTGAGCGTGCCACTGCACCCCAGCCTGGGCGATGGAGTGAGACTCCAGCACACACACACACACACACACACACACACACACACGCAAAACAACAAACCTTTTGATTATAGATAATTTTTAAACATATGCGATCCAACAATTAAGTTAGCAAACTCATGCTAGAACAAGTGCTCCATCCCTCACTGCTGAATATCACTCCGGTCACCTTCGAAGTTCTCCCCTTGGGAAGCTATGCACTAATGCCAGTGCTTAGTCCACCAATCAAAGCAATTTTGGAACTCTCTTTTTGGAATGGCCATCAGAGCTGTCGTCGTATCACTCTTGATGTCCTGAACGTCATCACAGTGTCTTCCTTTCAATACTTCCTTTATCTTTGAGTAAAGAAAAAAGTCATTGGGGACCAGATCAGGCGAACAGAGAGGGTGTTCCGATACAGTTATATGTACAGTGCTGCCAATGTAATAGTACAGTGGCCAGTTTGCGAACTCAGTGATCAGACCTCAACAAATAACAATGACAGCTCTGATGGCCATTCCAGAAAAAGAGTTCCAAAATTGCTTTGATGGGTGGACTAGAGGTTGGCGTCTGTGCATAACTTCCCGAGGGAAGTAGTTCTAAGGTGACCATAGTGATAATCAGTGACGTATGTAGCACTTTTTCTAGGGTGGTTCGTGAACCTGATTGTCGGACCTCGTATACTAAAATAGAGAACAGTATAATGAACAAAATGATCAACTAGTAGCTAGTCTTGTTTTATTTCTACTCCCACCTTTGATAATTTTTGAAGTAACTCACAACGATGTTTATATGTTTTGTTTTGGAGGGGTCTTTAAATGTTTGTGTGTTTGTTTTGCTTGTTCTAATGTGCATAATCATGGTTATGGTCAAATGCTGTGAACTTTCACTTCTTTTTTTCATTTTTTAAATCATTTTAGGAAAGTGAGAGACCATGTGAAATTTCAGAAATTGATGACAATCCCAAGATATCTGAGGTAGGAACTCTTGGTTATTATCTCCATAAATCATTCATACAGTAAAGAAGCTAAGTGTTTTTAAACCTTTCATGCACAAAAGAAGCACAACGTGAACATATGTGGAAAGGCGATGACCCCGTGAATCTGTAGCACAGAGGAGGCACTCAATTCTTTTTTTTTTTTTTTTGAGTCCAGGGTCTCATTCTGCTGCCCAGGCTGGAGGTCAGTGGTACAATAACAGCTCACCACAGCCTCAACTACAGGTGCATGCCACTATACCCAGCTGATTTATTGATTTTTTTTTTTCTTGTAGAGACGAAGTCTGGCTGTATCGCCCAGGCTGACCCCAAATTCCTGGGCTCAAGCGATCCTCCTGCCTTGGCCTCCCAATGTGCAGGGATTATAGGCATGGGCCACGTGCCCAACCTCTCAGTGTATTTTTATTGGCTTAACAGAAACCCAAGTTCGAGTTAATATTAGAAAATCAATTAATATAATTTATTTCACTGACAAAAGAGACAAGTCATGTGACCATCTCAATAGAAGACAGTTCAAAAAATTTAAGTCATTTGTGATCTGAACTTCACAAACTAAAAATAGAATAGAACCTTTCTTTTTTTCTTTTTTTGAGTTGGAGTCTCACTCTGTCGCCCAGGCTGGAGTGCAGTGGCACACTCACGGCCATCCCAGCTTTGACCTGCTGGGCTCCAGGGATCCTTCTGCCTCAGCCTTCCAAGTAGCCGGAACTCCAGGCACACACTACCATACCCGGCTAATTTTTTTATTTATTGTAGAGACGAGGTCTCGCCAAGGTGCCTGGGCTGGTCTCGAACCCATGGGCATGGGCAATCCACTCACCTTGGCCTCCCAAAGTACTGGGATTACAGGCTGAGCCACCAAGCCCGGCCTAGAACCTTTCTTAACTTGAAAGAAGATATCTTATAAAAATGACAGCAGACATCATCTCTACAGGTAAAATGGTGAACGTATTGTCTTTAAGATCAGAAATAAAATGAATATTCACTAACAGCACTTCTAGTTAATATTGCACTTTAGGTCCTAGTCAACGTAGTAGGCTAAGAAAGATATTTTAACAAGTTTACTGGATGCAAAAATGAATATACAAAAGTAGTTTACATTTCTCAACATCAATTAATTAGTAAAAATAATTTTAAAAATTACTATTTTGCAATGGTAGTACAAATATGTAGAATGCTAAGGAATAAATCTAACAAAAATATGCAGTCCCTTTATAGAAAATAATAAAACTTTAGTTAAAAAAAATTAAATAATGCATAAATAATGGGAGTTATATACATGCTCCTGAATAGCAAGACTCAATAACTTAAAAATGTCAAACAACCACAGGTTGATCCATATAATACATGTAATTCCAATATAAATCTCAATAAAATTTTTCATGGAACTTAAAAAGGTACTTCTAAGATCTATATGGTATAAGGTAGAAAAAGTTTTTAAAAGAAACAATGAACAGATAAAACAAATAGAAAACAAATAGCAAGATGGTAGATTTAAACCCAATCATATCAATAATCACATTAAATGTAAATGGTCTAAATACTCCAGTTAACAGGCAGAGACATTCAGATTGGCTATAAAAACAAGATCCAAGTATATGAGGCCTGCAAAAACCCACTTTAAGTATAAAGATGCAAATAGGTGAAAAGTTAAAGGATATAAAAACAGTAAGCAAAAGAGAGATGAGAGGCTTGAAAAACTCTCCCAAAGCAGTAAGCTCAGGCAATTGTAGGCCTCTCCTCATTTGTTTTCTGTCTCTCATGGATCACTTCTTCTTTGCCTGTGGTCCAGTGTCTTGAAAACTATTGTTTTGAATGATTTGTCTGATTTTTGGCTGTTGCAGGCAGGAGGGTAAATGTGGTTGCTGTTACTCCATCTTGACCAGAAGAAGTAGTCTCTCTCGTGTTTTTTAAAACCTATTTGTTTTCTCAAGAATCCTAGGAGATCACCTACACATGAGAGGAACACAATGGGAGCACAAGAAGCCCACATCTATGTGAAAACCATAGCAGGAAGCGAGGAACCTGTGCGCGATCCTTACCGCCCTATAGAAATGGAGAGAAGGCGGGGATTGTGGTGGCTTGTGCCCAGACTGAGCCTGGAATGACACAACTCAGCCAAGGAGCAGTCTTGGAGCTGGAACAGGGCTGAAAACCCCGAGTTGTTCTTGGAGAGGAAACATGCCAAGCTGCTTCTTAACCAATCCAAATTTCATTTACAGATCTGGAACACTTTGGGGTTGATTTATCTCTTTAGGAAAGAACTCCAACAAGGTTCGTTCCAACTCTCAGACCTAGTGGTTTAACACACTGTGACTCACCAGGTGAGTTCACTGTTCACCGTGTATCCAGATGGAGCCTTTAGGTCCTGTTCTTGACTCCAGTGGGAATTAACTTTTCTTTGTGAATTTGGGAAAGGGGCTTGGTTTCTGAGTGTCTCACCCTCTTGCCTCTTTTTCATATCTCATTTCTCCAAAAAGCCCTCCGATCTGACTTCCATGGGCATGTTGGCAAGTTCCGCCCGGTGCAAGTTGGGATAGAAATGAAGCTTACGGGGAATATGTGGGGGGAAGCAGCTACTTATGTCTGAATGGCTCATGGCAGAGGTCACATGGGGCCCCACATTCCCTGACCACGAGGCAGCACCCAGCTCGAGCATGTCATACAGCAGGGGAGAGAACTTGGGCCCTTAAGTCAGACCTACCCCTGGGCAGCTGTGTGACTTTGCAGAAATTGTTGAAACTCTCCAAGCCTAGTTTTTGCTTTTGTCAAAGAGGGGGGACTATTCCTTGCCTCATGTGTGTTTGAAAAGATTAAATAAGAAATAAAGGGAAATGCCTGCTACATAGTGGGCACTCAAAATGCTCATTCTCTCTCTCTACTCCCTTCTTCCTCCCTCTTTCCATATGACTTGTTGGGGAAAGTCAAATGACTGATCACCAGCATTTATTCCTCATGGTCATAGGTTCACTCAGGGAACATTTATGGCAAACTTTCTCCATGTTCTGTGATCCAAGGTTGACATCCAAAGGTCGTTCTAGGTGTCGCTAGCAGTCTGTGACTCTTCCAATCTAGATATGACCCTGTCCTTATACCAACAAGAAAAGCCAGGTTCCTGCAAGTTTTAAATACCAAATACAGAGACTGGTGGTGTTACGTGTAATCTTCAAGACGTTGGTGTTGATGGAGATTCGTGTTTTGTATTAAAATGACATTTCCACCGGGCACGGTGGCTCAAGCCTGTCATCCCAGCACTTTGGGAGGCTGAGGTGAGAGGATTGCCTGAGCCTGTGGGTTCGAGACCAGCCTGGGCAACATGGTGAGACCTCGTCTCTACAATAAATAAGAAAATTATCCAGGCATGGTTGCGTGTGCCTGTAGTTCTGGCTACTTGGAAGGCTGAGGTGGAAGGATCACCGGAGCCCAGCAGGTCAACGCTGGGGTGGCTGTGAGCATGCCACTGGACTTCAGCCTGGGTGACGGAGTAAGACTCCAACTCAAAAAATAAAATAATTAAAAAATAAAATGACATTTTTTCTTTACAATGAGGCATTTTTGCCTAATTCTTAAAGTAAGGCATTATAATATTTCTAATGACAATTCCTCACATATCCTTAACCTTTGTGCTTTAGGGATAGTTGCTAAAGATACAGTTTCTTTTATTTAAAAAAAAAGGTTTCAGAGTGAACAAGAGCCCTTGAACCCAGTGTGGCATCACCACTGCAGCATGCTGAGGACTCTCTCCAAGGAGGCTGAGATGAAAAAGAGAGGCTGCCTGAAGTGGAGTTGGTGCCTTGGGCATATTGGGCAAATGATAACCAGTTTGCACTATTTCCTATCAATCACTCCAGAATCCACCACCCTCTGGCTTTCTCTCATCCCAGCCACTCCTCTTCCCACTTTTCCAAGCCCCTCACTTCCTCTGTGACTCTGGGCAAACTCCCTCGCACGTGTCAAATGTCCCACCACCCACCTGGCCTCGGAGACCCCTCCTTCATCGCATCCACCTGTGTCTGTGATCAGAAAGCGTTTAGGGAAGGCGGTCCTGTGAGGACTTGTGTGTGTGCGTGCGTGCGTGTGTGTGTACGTGTGCTGGAAGTAAAGATGGGGGAGGGAAGGCAAGAGTTGCTCCAAGAGATTTTTAGAAACGGCTGTGTCCATTCTGTGGGGATAGAGATAGTGCGAACTGGTTATGAATACAAGACTGAAGGAATGGGCCAAGTAGCGACATGTCTGCAGCCCTGGAAGCTCCCTGAGGAGACCTCCAGGCAGCCTGGTGTCCCTACGCATGGCCACTGCCTTTGAACAAACAAGGCATTCGTAGGGATGGGAGGGAAATCCTGGGTCCAGGGCATCTCAGGGTTCACCTACCAGCTCCAGGAGCCACACTGAAATTCCAGAAAACATTCACAGGGCTTCCGGCGACTCAGAAACATGCCCCTCTTCCCTGAATAACCAGGACCAGGTTCTATGGACCCAATCTCTGCCATGTGCCACTATCTGCTCTTCAAAGTCCCTGGTGAATGAAGTTTTGTGCCAAGTCTCCTGGGTCCAGTCACCTTGACGAGGCAGATGTGGCCGTTTGTAAGCAGATGTGTCCAGGGATCCTGGCACTTGTATTTCTCTTTCATGTTGGGGAGGACCTGGGATCTACTGAGAGCTCAGCTGTGGCCTTGGCTTTGATACTCTGGTGTCAGCTCCAGGGCAGAATGTCGAACGTCGGTGCCTCACTTCTGAACTTGTAACCTGGAGATGGTCATTCTCAACCTCCCATCCTGCAGGGCAGTTGTGAAACCGGATTGAAATATGCATGTGAATAAGCCTCGTAGTCTATAGAGTAAGGCATGTCTTGTGCTTTGGATCATTTATTTTAAATCTACTCACAATCCATTGCTTAGAATCTTTATTTCAAATGGTTTCTGTTAAGCTAGTATTTTAAGTTCAGTATTTCTGTCATTTATATCTGCTAGGTGCACGAGAACTCATTTTGGAATAAACTAAATAAAGTAAAATGGCCATTCTCATGAAACCGCAATACGTCTGCGGCTTTTCTTTGCCTGCATTAAATTATAGGACATTGGCCCTGGTCTCAGAACCAAGGGTATCCCAGGGATGTTCCTGAAACTGGCACTTTGCTCGACCAGGCTGGAAGATGTTCAGTCCTCCATGGAGAGTGGCCCAGTGTCGTAAGGAAAGTGATGAGATCCCAAGTCAGAAGCTCTGACTCCCCAGACCTGGCCTGCTGCTAAGTTACCGGCGACCGTAAGCAGGTCACACAATGTGTTTGGATCTCACAGTCACCTGTTTCCCCTGGTGCTTCAATTGCTCCTCTCCAAGGTTATATCCACCCAGTTCAAACTTTGATTTGAAAAATGACTTTGGGCCAGGTGTGATGGCTCAAGCCTGTAATCTCAGCACTTTTGGGAGGCCGAGGCAAGAGGATTGCCTATGCCCGCGGGTTCGAGATCAGCCCAGGCAGCATGGTGAGACCTCGTCTCTACGATAAATAAAAAACTAGCTGGGCGTGACAGTGCGCACCTGTTGTTCTGGCTCCTTGGAAGGCTGAGGCGGAAGGATCACCGGAGCTCAGCAGGCCGACGCTGGGGTGGCCCTGAGTGTGCCACTGCACTTTAGGCTGGGTGACGGAGTAAGACTCCAACTCAAATACAATGAAAATCTGACTTTCATTTTCCCATGGCTTGCAAAATCCCATCCAGCCACTGAGTATTCCAAATGCCTGAAAAAAAGGTCTGGTTATATCAGAGCTCACTTAAAAATTCTGTACCTCTATTGATTATATAAAAATAAATAAATAAATAAAAAATAAACCGGGCTCGTTGGCTCAGCCTCTAATCCCGCGCCTTTGGGAGGCTGAGGTGAGTGGATTGTCTAAGCCCACGGGTTCGAGACTCAAAAAAATAAAAAATAAAATAAATAAATAAATAAAATAGTTAAATGCAGGGGAAAAAAAAATGCTGTACCTCCAAGAAAAACTCAGAATGGGCTCTCACTGTCTCTCCTCTACCCTAAAGAGAGGTTACTGGAACTCCAATGAGTTAAGGAGTGCCAAAATACCAAAATTAGACAGGTGAGACTACAAAAAAATTTATAAGATGGTCGAATCTGTCCAATAAGTTGTAAAAAAAAATTTCTATAGAAAGAAAACTGATGGGGGTAGTCTCTGAAGGACAGGCTGAGTATGTCCTGGGGCTTAAAAAATCGAATTTGTAATGAGGGAGAATCAGTTTATCACAGATTTATATTTTCGAGGTTAAATGAATTGAGTGGCCGGGTGCAGTGGCTCACACCTGTAATTCCAGCACTTTGGGAGGCCGAGGCAGAAGGACTGCTTGGGCCCAGGAGTTCAAGACCAACCTGGGAAATATAGTAAGACCTGTCTCTTAAAAAGAAAAAAAAAATATAGAATTGAGAACAAGTCATGCTGAAGGAATTCTACCATGAATGCTGTAATGAAAAGTCAGGAGTCAGGCGATGATTACTGTTGACTCGCCTGGCCAGGGAGTGTCCACTGCTGAAGGCCGAGGTAAGGATCTGGGTGTTTGTCTTGAGCGCTAGGGAAAGCCCAGGCTTGTGTCCACTCCTTCTAGTTCCTCTGCTCCAGGCATATGTGTCTCCTCTCTGCCTCTCAGATGCCACACCCCTTCCAGCCAAACAGGCTTCCTCTCTGCAACTCATACTCCAGGGGTCCTCCAGCTTCAAACTCTTTCTCTCTGCTCATCTGCTGCCTTGGTTCCTCCTGCCATATGGGCCTTTTCTCTGACACCGGGTCCTCGCAGCATAGGGGAGAACCTTCACACATGCTGCTGATATGGTAGAGGGGGTAGCCCATGCAGGCCAAGGTGAATAGAATGTGCAGGGCAGGGTACTGGAGAAGAAAGAATTGCTCAGAGGCAGAACTCAGAGACCGGTGGAGGGTCCCTCTTGACTCTTCTGTTGAGTACTGATCACCACAGGCTTGTGTGAAACAACCCGAGGTTGGACAAAGAGTCACTCAAAAGGATTAGAGGGAACAACACACTCTCGCAGAGCCAGAAACAATTCCTGCTCCCAAACAGCCAAAGAAGACAACATCATAATTCACCAGGCTTGAAGTAGAACACTGAGAAGAATACTGCCCCAGTGATTCCTAAAAGAACTAGAAATTGACCTTCCAGACGATCCAGCAATCCCTCTTCTGAGAATATACCCAGAGGAACATAAATCGTTCTACCGAAAAGACACCTGCACACGCATGTTTAGAGCTGCACTATTCTCAAGAGTAAAAACAGAACCTGGAAGGCTGAGAAGGAAGGATCGCCAGAGCCCAGCAGGTCGAGGCTGCGGTGCCAGGGAGCGGCTACTGCACTCCAGTCTGGGTGACGGAGTGACACTCCAACTCAAAAAAACAAACAAAAAAACACCCATAAAACAGAACCAATCCCACTGCCCATCACAAAGGGTACCTGATCCTAAACCAGAGGAAGTGAGGGCCGGTCGGAGGCCCAAACTTCACCTGTACGCAGACTGTTTGGGGAACTAATCCTGACGTGTACCCCATATGTCTGCAGTAAAAATAAAAATAAAAAGTAGTGGGGAAGAATATTAACTCTAGATTAAACTGTTAGTGTTACTCTTGTCCTGCCTAGCAAAGCTTAAAAGCAAGATGAGGACAGATCAGACTGATTCCAAGTGACTTCACCACATGCGCGAGCAAATCTCAAGAAGAATAACAGGAAAACAAAAACATCCAGACCCCAACAGGGTAAACGTCACAATGTCTAGAATCCAAAAGAAAATTACCAAGCCTTCAAAGAGGGAGGACATGACCCATAATGAGGAGAACACCCAGTCAACAGAAACTGACTCAG